TGGGAAAGAGGGAAATGGGGAAATAAAAAAGAACGAAGAAGAGATCGAAAGAGAGGTTTTAGCATCCGGTACTCCTGTGTATTACCTAATGGCTAAAAAAGACTCAGTATTGAAACAAGTAGCACATACCTCTTTGTTTTACATAGTTAACAACATTAACGTCCCTACGAGTTAGTTGTGTGATGCACTCGCCAAATATGCGACTGAGCTTCGATTTTTTGACGTGAAAAGACCCAAATACCCTTTACATTATAAATTTCAAAAATAAAGTTTTCAGTTTTTTCAGTTCAGTCCCTTGAAGTTTCAGAAAAACCCTCTTCTTCCTTAAGTCAGGGACTGATTTACAATTTTCCAAAAATACACTGAATATAGCTAACTGCCGCTCTCCTTCCGGTGAACACCCTGTCCGGTCTCACCTCCTTCCATATCCTCAGCATATGTTTCGCTCCATGATAAGATTTATTTATGCACGAATATATATATATATATATATATATATATATATATATATATATATATATATATATATATATATATATATATATATATATATTACTTATATTTCATATATACTAATTTTAGTTTTATACCGAACTGAATTACCGGTTCAGTACCGTTCGGTCATGGTTTACCAATCAGATGAACACCCATATATAAATTTGACAACGTAAGAGTGAACGTGTAACAAAATACATAGTTGAGGGTGATTTTCATAATTTGACATTACATCAGGGGTAGCCGTAATTTACCCTATATTTTATAATACTTTAATTTCATTTTGCATTATTTTGGTACTTTATATAGCGTTTTACATAATCGAAACACAATAAATCATTTATAATGTATTTTAAATTGGAATTTTTTTAAGTTGATGATGGTACTTTTGTCTCGGGCGTATTTTTCAGGGTGCAAAATGTCAGATGAATTTTTTTATTTTCCTCAACCCTTCTTCCTAAGATTGAAACTACAAATGGTCTTGCAGGGGATGATCTAGCGGTTGAAGCAAGTAAACTTGTGTCAGTTGACCTAAATTTGAATTTTATAGCCTAGTGTAGTTTACGTCTCTCGTGTGATTTACATCCTATTATATAAGAGTGTAAGTTTACCGAGAGCACCTATATAGTTGGTTGCAGGTTCCTTTATTACTTAAAAAAAATAAGAATATCAAAATTAAATTTGAAACCCATCAAGAAATCCATTTGGCCATTTCTAGTGTTAAAATCACCCCGTATCAAGTGAGAATCGAAATATACTTCAAATTTTGCAATTTCGGTACATCGTGAAATCATAAAAGACTCCGAATGCACAATAAATTGAATGATATCTAGAAGGGTGGATTTATCATTTAATCAATCGAGCACGCGTAACTTATGTTTTTTTTTTTTTTCCTAAAATTTTCGAAACATAATTGAAATGTGTTTTTCACTTTCTTATAAAAAGTTTATAATTTTTTTCGAAAGTGTTGATTTCGATCAGATATGTTCGATTTTCACCTTCAATACATACACACCATCAATGCGATATGTTCGATTTTATAACACATCCACATATATGAACCTCAATATTAAATATGACCACAACTTTCTTAAGAGTTGGTATAAAAATACTAATTCATCATATGAAGTTAACCTAATAAGTTCATCTTCCTACCAACTTAAACTAAACCTAATGAAACTCAAAAGACTTTTTATAAAGTTTCAATCTATAAATATGGGATAATCAAATGTCAAGTTCTACATCACAACACAATAATTAAATTTAAAATATTTTTAGTTCAAGAAATATATATATCCATCAATGGCAACCTTCAACTCTCACTTAGTGTTATGTTTGATTATGGCGATTTCACTGTCAAACATAGATGCAAATCGGGCGGCCCGCAGCCTACTGCAAACTTCTCAACCGGCATTGCCAACAATCCCACCGCTGCCCCAGGCCACTCTGCCACCACTGCCCGCCATGCCAAATCTGCCCACCACCACCACGCTGCCGCCACTGCCCGCCGTGCCGAATCTGCCCTCCATGCCAAATATGCCCGCCACCACACTGTCGCCACTGCCCGCCATGCCAAACCTGCCCACCACCATGCTGCCGCCACTGCCAACCACCATGCCCACCAACCCAAACGTAGCATTGCCGCCAATGCCCGGAATGCCTTCGATTCCGACGACAATTCCTTCTTTCCCTTTCCTCTCACCACCACCCTCCAACTAATCCTTGAGATAATATGTCCAATTATTTCATCAGGAAATTTACTTTTATAATTTTTTTTCTCTGTTGGTTTACATTTGTTCCAGCCTTGAGTTATCTTTTAAATTCTTATTGGTGTTGAAATGAATTATGTTCATAATCTTTCATTGTTATATATACACGTGTATATACATACATATATATATACACACACACGTGTAAACTCCACTCCGTTTCTACATTTTTACGACAGAAATCATATCGAAATGTAGGCAAGTTACCGACTATTTTATACTTGCTACAACTGTCATATAAATCTGAATACATATTCTCAACTGCAATTTATTTTTCGAAAAAAGCCATACAAGTTTCATTCAACTTTAAATAAAGCTTTTTTATAGATAGATTAATTGGCAAATAATCACCATCTGCTTAAAATACAAATTGGGCCCGATAATTTACAACCTAGTAAAACTTACCGACAAACTCAAACGCCAAAAAGAACAAAAAAATGTTTGAGCTTGCTCAACTCCAACCGTCCCCCTATTTTTAGGGCGAACGTGATTATTTTCCGAAAAAAGCCGGGTTAGTAAAATGCGCTGTAATTTCATCTACTCCTACAAACTATATATTAGAGTTGACTAATTTAATTTCCTACCCTTTTTTTTGCAGTCTTAGTATACATGGGAATAATAATGTACCTTCTCCTGGAGCTTCATAAGATCGATTCATTTTCCGATGATGATATCAGCAGTTTCCGGTGAAAGATATATTCAAGCCCAACAAAAGCCCGTTACGGGTGGTACCAGCTAGGCCCGAATATATAGCCCGATATATCATCAGCACTAGAGTCTTTGGTGCTATCTGTACTATACGAGCCAGCATCAGATACACTGAAAATCGAAGAACTGTCGCTCGATGAATCCACCGTTGGATTTCTATGCAACCAACGCTCAGGATCTGTCACATGGTTGCCCGTAAAATCATTTGGAGACATCCAATCGGGCCTTTGATGAGGTAATGTGGGCTCGGTATTTCGATTAAAAGAGCTCGGTTTTGATTTTGGATTTTTCTTCTTGGTGTTGTTGCTGGAAGAAATTGCTTCCATGCTTCGCTTGGTTTTCCCATCGGAATACGTAGTGCTGTTCCTAACAGAGGATGAGCCCCGCGGAGTATGCCTATAACGATTTACATTTTTTTTTTAATTTTAATCTTTAGGAAGAAAATAGATGTTTTTAGAAACGATTTATGGCCAATTAGATTTACCTTGCGTAGAAGAGAATGTATGCTTCTGAAGATAAGACTGTTTGCAGGTTCACATGGCTAACCTGCATGATGAAAGGCTCGAAAAAAATGCTTAATAATTGAGAAAAGATAAATCATATAAATAACTGAAACCATAAAAAAAAAGTTACGAAATTTGCACGACAGTGTGATAACATACCCTGCTGTCGTCAATTCTAAACCAATCTCCCTGCAAATCTTTGACATAACTTACGTAGTGACCACTGTAAGCAGCACCCATTACACCCAAGTGAACGACCACAGCATAAAGATGGTATACAGGGTATTTATCGTTCGTCCCACTCATATAAGGAGAGAGGTTCAGAACCTCGGGAAACTGAACTAGCTTGTTCAGCTTCTCTAAATTGCCTGACTGCAAATAGAAGTGCAGAGTTAGATAAAGATGTAATGAGCGTACAAATTAAATGCGCTGCTAAATAAAGATGAATTACCCGAAATCGCTTCAGAACAATTGGAAGAATGTTCGGTGCCTCGAGTACCGTTAATTTCTTCTTGGCTTTCTCATAAGACTTGCATCTGCCAAGAAAATACATCGGTCGCATCAAACTAAATTGAAATCACAAACAAATAGATCAATCTGCTTTCATGCATTTGAATTTTTAGGCATTGATTGCTAAGTTCTGCATCCTCAGCCAACATTTCACTTTTATTTTTCACAACTTCCCTTCAAATTCAATAATTTCAACAGAGAGAAACAAAAAAGAGATTATTTTTTTCAAGTTTCCAATCTTGATCTGCTTCTGCAAGATCCATAAGAATGGTGAGATAAATACAATTATGCGTTCTCAATGGTTCCGACTTCTCTATAATATTTCCAAAAAGAACATTCCAACAGACTTATGAGACACACACAGCATTGTCCTATGAACTTAATTTACGATTTGCAAACCCAATAAATAACAAGTAACAATACATATTATCTGTACGATGAAGAAACGTTTAACTACTAGCATGAGAGAAACTGGAAAAACCTGCTGCACTTATATTTGTCATCCCCTCCAAGTGTTTCAGATGTCGTAAATTGCACAAGAGCCTCTTCAAGTGTATATATATTCCCTTCTATCTCAACACTAAGATCCATTATTTGGTCACATCGCTCAGATCTCCCTAAACACTTCATGCACTTAACCTGGGAAGCCAATTCAACAGTAATCAGCAAAAACTGTGGTAACATGTACTATTAGAAACCATATTAACTTCTAACATAAACATTAAAAACTGACAGGAAGACAACAGGGGTCGAAGATATATCAACATGAAGACAGACCTTGGATCGAAGATAACCGCCAAATGTCAGACCCATAAGGGTTGAGTCTTCTGCCAGTATACCAGAAGCACCAGCTTCCTCGAGACATATAGATTGCATTTTGTCTACCACATTTCTGATATAACATAGATATGATCCTTGTCAGCATATCAAAATCAAATACAAATTTAGCAAACCAAAACCGAACTTGCCTTAAAAACTCATGTGCATCTTCTTCTCTTCCAATCGGCTGGATTAGAGACAGTAATCCAACAGGAGATAAAGGAGATCTTGTTTCCTGTCCCTTCTGAATTAAGTGTTCAAACTTGCATATAAAGCACCAATCCCTTTTCCGACCTGAATCATTGTTACGAAAGGAGTCACAAAAAAACAGGACTATAAAAGATCAGCACAAATTTGACGTCCAGCAGTGAATCATAAAGTGGTACTTGCATGTTTTTGAATGCAATCCTTGAAGAAGATAAGAAGTAATCGGCCGAGTAAAAGTCAGACACTGCAGCACAGCATTTGCGTAACAGCTGCAAGAAGAATAAAATAAGTTGCACTATATGCATGAAGAAAATAAAGAATAACATCTGCTGGCACGTATACAGTTGGAAAGATGTAGACTTAAATAGAAGCTGCAATCTCTTGTAGCATGAAACAATATTTCTGAATACAAAAGGAAATGACCATTTTCGTCCATTTCTGCCCTAATATAGTTACCTGTTTTCTCTAGCTCTAGAAAAATCTTCATTAAATATAATAAATGAAAGGGGAAATTAATACATAAAGGGTCGTCTGACTTCTAGCAAACTCTTTACAGTAAAAGAAACCAACATCCATTACAGGTAGAACCCATAGTACACGCTAAACTGCTACATGAATGTAAGGTGTCATACTCCAGAAATAGAAAGCAGAAAAGCTATAGTTTGATGTTTTGAAACCCCATAACTATGAAAAAGAAGCAAAAACTATAGAACACGAAAATAACTAGATCAAACAACCAATTTCCGTGAGCAGAGATTCGTGTGCCCGTGGACGGACCTACACTAAGGCAGTATGGGCGCCCCCACTCCACCACCCCACCCCCAAGATTAAAAAAAACAATTAGGTAATTTTTATATATATTTATGATAAATTTGTGTTGACCCCCAGATGTTTTGTAAACATGAGTTTTGGCCCTTTCAATTTTTTTTATTTTTCTCCATATCCTTACGTAAATTTATATATTTTTTCATATTATCTTCACAATATAAAATATCATAGTTAAAACTACTACTGTTTTAAATAAAATCTATAAATATTTACTTATTTTTAAATTTCTTATATACATATATATATCCGCCGCAGCCCCTACCCCCTTCAAAGTGTCCTGGGCCGCCCCTGCGTGTGCCCACATACACACCAACACATGTGATATAAAAAGTTCACCTAATAGCTCAATGAGGACAGCATACCAAAACAGAGTGATGTAACATAGATTAATTGGAATAAAACATCTGACTCACCTGTTTCCGCAGTTCACAAGGCCAAATGGATGCAGTTCCACATCGTCACAGGAATACAATTGCATGAAAAGCTTCAGGGGAAATATGACCTATTAAGAAGAACACAAGACCGATGAATAACATGATGAATGACATGTCTTGAACAAAACATTTGAATGCTAAAACAGAAAGTTTTGACATGAAAGAAAAACACACTGAAAACTAACCTTCTGATTATAGTTTCCACCAGAATCCTTCACCATATCAAATGTGCAGGACTTCGACGGCTTTGGTGCTCTAAAATTTTGTACAAATTTCCTTACTGATGTTTTCAGACCTTTGCTCGTAGATTGTGTCAAATTACTTGCATCTTCAATCTCTGAAGAAATAGCATGAGAACTGACGGTTTTTATAGGCAGCTTCTGACAATTTCCTGAACTCTTATTTGTTGTCATAGATCTTGTTTCCTTACTGTTGCGAAATTTTGATTCATTTTCCCAGTATTCATGTGAAGAAGCCATCTTCAAAGACTTTGAGCATACTGAACTCAGTTCTACATTTGGCATTTGATGATTATCTGAAGGCCTAAAAGATACAGATTTTGTCGCTTTACTAGTAGACATATGTACTCGATTTTTCCCATCTGCTGCTGAAGATGACCTTGCAGAAGTAGATGGTTGAGAAGTCCTCAACTCAACTGCCCCCTGTACAAACTCTTCCAACAAAGGCAATTCTTGTCCTTTTCTTTTATCTACAGAATAAACATGACGGGATGGACTTGGTACATCTGCATCATCAAATTCCGAAGAGGTTCTTGACATTTGAGAATTAATATCAATGGAAGATGCTTTATCTGGGCTGATAGGAGTTTCTAACTCAACAGCCTCACCGGTAGAAGAATCAAATGATGTTTCACTTCGTTCAGTTGAAGAAAAGAAGCAAGACGCCGAGCTACTTGAAGATCCAGAGTCATCAAGTTCTTGACTGGGATCAGAATAAAGTTTAGCTTCATCATTCAAATGCATAGCAAACTGGTTTTCTGAAGCTGTCTCAAAAGTAAATTCACCTTCCTTGCTAGTATGCAATGAAATCGCTGGCTGACAGTCATCCTTGTGACCATGTCTCCAATGAATAATTTGGCACTTACCAGAACTAGAAAGCAACAAAAGAAAAATGTAAATTACAGGGGGAGCAATAAAATTAGAGGTAAAATTCACATTCTTAACAAAGAAATAATTTGACGACTTAGATTAACCAACAAGATCTTGTGAGCTATCTTTCATATCTACTATCAGTCAGCACTGACTACAAGTAGATCCCTCATGCACTCAAGACTCGCAAGTTTCATACAAATGATACAGTAGGAAATGAATCACCAATCAAAACAAAAATTCGTAATTTCTAGCCAATTTGACAAAGTTCATATAAAATAAAGATTGCTTTTTTTTTTCCATTTTAAAGTGCATCTTGGCATCCTTTAATATTTGAAACTTTAAAATGCTTGATCCATTTTCTCAAACATAAACATTATACATCGTTCATGCATCTACCAAATTCACTCTTAAACCACTTGACCTCAGACCTTTTACATCCAATAACTGTGAAAATACATGAGTTATGCCCAATTTAAAAAAAAAATATCTGTCCCGCCATCTAATATTAACTAAAGGAAAAACACAGCTAAACTTTCTGGAGAAAGCCTTCGCTAGTAAACAGAACCCTATCAAAGCAAGAACTCCAAATTTCATACAAACTTTTTTAATCTTTGTTTATTTTAAAACAAAGATGAAGTCTTGACAATTTTGCTTTCTATCAAACACAACAGGTAGCTTTCACACTTCAATTGTTTTATGTCAACTCATGCCATAAACTTATAGACCTCACATCTAGCATGACCTAATCTTATCACCATCACTTATCTGCCGAAGCTGGATATTCAGCCTAAACCCACCCCATCTCCTAAAAGAGATCATGGGATATTTTGTCCTCCCATTTGAGCCCAGTGGACTTCTAGAATCTAATGCGATATATCTGCCAACTGCCGAGACAAAACCATCACCGTTTCTTTTTTTCTTCTTATCCACAAAACGGACAATAATTGACAATTTCACAGTACATGTTGCCCATTTCGTGCTGCATCTAATTATCCTTCCTGCCCACTTGTTCTTGTTAAAATTCCTACCCACTCGCTCTAATTCTATTCTAATATTTCTGATCTTCAATCACCCATTGTTCGTATTTTACAGCATTCTTCCTAGATAAGCATATCCTAACCTTATCAGTTGTCTCTAATTCAAATCAAAATTTTGAATTTAATACAATCGATAAAAATGACCTACTGTTCATCGGCCCTAAATTACAAATCAGAAACCAAATCACTCCTAAATTTAAATTCCAAATTCAAAATTACCAAAAGAGAGAGCTAGAGCATCAAATTTAAAATTTCAAAAAAATCAACAAGAAAATCACTATTCAAAGAGTACCAATTTCGAAAAATCGCATAGGAATGAATGACAACACTCACCAGTATCTAACAGCTTTACACCGAGAGCACCTAGTAGTGGTGGGGCAATGACAAACAGCGCAATAATACTGTTTCTCGAGCTGCGGCTGTAGATGATGAGGCGGCGGCGGTGGCGGCGGCGAATTGTGGTACTCCTCAATAGCTTGAAGCTTAGCAACGTTCGCCTCTTCTTCCGATGCCACAGCCACCAGCCTCAGAATCTCCTCTTTCTTAGCAGCCCCATTCCTCCACTTGTGACGAACCACGAGTCCGAAAATCAGTAATATCCCGACAATCACTAGCATTGGTTTTCTGTTGATTCAATCGAATTAACCGGCGGCGAGGATTAAAACGGAGCTGAATATAAACCCTAAGAACCGGATTTTTTTGCAATACATAGAGGTTTAGATTCGCAGCGACGGTTGGTGCCAGATATGGCGGCCGTAGATAATCCGGCGCGGCGGCGGCGGCGGCGAGTGGCGGAGGAAAATGGGGGTATAATTCGGAAGGTAAGAAGAAAGGGAATTTTGGTGAGTGAGAGAGTGAAAAAACTGGAAAGAATAAAATAAAGTGACGTACAGATAGAGTTTAGAACCTGTTTGGTTGGGTGCGAATTTCTACCTTATTTATTGCCTTTTCTTTTTTTCCATTTCCAACCTTTTTTCCGGTTATATCCTTTTTCGGTTTCGTTCTATAAATCGGAACGGAAATTTTTGAATTCGGTCGATTTCGATTATAATATTTCTGATTTCGAACCAATATTTTTCAACCGAATTGCAATAGTTTTTATTTTCGATTTTCTCGAATTTTTTTGGAACATAATTGGAATACATATTAATTTTGTACTTTCCATCTAATTTCAATTTTCAAAATATTTCAAGAATTCCATTTTTTCTTTAAAAAATTTACCGTGTAATATATATATTATTATGAGTTATATATTATAAGTGACTAAAAAAAATAAAAATTTGGAATTCCGATTCCCATCGGAAAAGCTACTATTTAGGAACAAGCTTTTTCATTTCAATTTTTAAATTTCGATATTTTTGTTTTCGATTTTCTTAACGAAATTTGGATTAGTTTTTTCATTCCAAAAGAATTGATTTTTTTTTCATTAATTTAATCCGTCTAATTTTCACCCTAAGTTTTAGGTGAACCCATGCGTATTGTGTTCAATTTATTCAATATATATTTTTGGGTGAAAATGCTACACCCAATGAAATATATGATGATTTTATAATTTATATCATAAATCCATACAAATTCACATACATATATTTTAGCCTATCTCAAGCTCGTTTTGTTTACATATTTTCCTTATTATTTATTTTAGTAATATTACTATTTTTATTATTATATTTTTTATATGTATTTATTATATTTTATATTATTACATATTTTATTTATATCAATAATAAACAAAAACTTGTTAGCCGACTCGTTAGCTCATGAACAACTAAGAAAACTCAAGATCGAACTCGTCAGAAAACTGGACTTTGAAAAACTTTAGCTACAATTTTTTATCGAGTTGACTCAATACATTTACATACATAAGTCGTTCTTCGTTTTTTTTTTTTTCTTTTTTGGAGCATCTAAGTCGCTCTTCGTTATCATAATGATTGTGAAATGTGAACTTGTCCACATAATTTTTTTTTAAATTTTATAATTATGTGAGAATTATGAGGTACTTTTTTTGTTGTACATTGAAAAAATGAAATGGTATTAGTTAATCTTTAATAAATACAAAAAGTGTTACAACACTATCCAACATCCATAATCAAAAATCAAAATGATCATTTATTCATTATTAAATCTAATATCTCAATTGAGTTAATCAAATTCAATAACTAATATTCAGAGCATATTGTATTTTCAAAAATAATAATAATAATAATTTTTGTTTGCAGAATTTGTAAATTGAATCCAAAAGAATATATCTTTTACAAAAGAGTACAAAAACATAAAACTATAGAGAATTGATTTCCAATCTTTTTAGAGTATCAAAATAATTCCACTATCAATTACCTTTTTGGCCCACACGCATGTTTATGAATTGTACACGATTTGACGGTTTAACTTTCTACAATCATAATAGCGTATAGTGTGGGGGATTTTCTGATTACTACGGAATAATTATTAATCGTTCGTCTGCATATAATCACACACATTTATGTGTATGTATGTTTTTATTGACTGGTTATTTAAATGGCTAAAAATCACTTAATATATAATCCTAAGTAGCATCTCAATAACCGGATTTTCATGCAAGAGAAATTACAAATTTCGTAAGTGTAGACTTTAAAAATATCTATTGCTAAATATAGTGATTCTAAATAAGGGCAAAAGAAAATTCTTGAATCAAATTTCTACATTCTTATTTATAATAATGGTATAGTCTTTATTTTTTTTTTAAATAACAATAAATATCCAAATTACAATTGGCTAATTTGGAGGGTGAAGGGTCTTCTTCAAATTCTTTTTTTTTATTATTATAAATCCAATTTAGTAATTTACCAGTCCATAAACACTTAATTGAGCGTTCGATTTGATTTTACGGTTTATAATATGCTACATCGGCTGAAATGCACAAAGTATATTTTTACCGTTTATAAGCACACATATACACATACATCCATATTGATGTGTCCAGATCAACGATAAATGATGTAACCTTCATCTGATGTAGCATAGGAGTATCTCTCTTACAACTTAGAAAATAATTACTAAAATAGATTTAGACTGAAAGCACACAAATATAAAATACATTCGAAAACAAATTGGAATTATTATTTTTTTAAATACTCTTTACACCTATGAAAACAAACCCGTAAGATTCATCCCGTCGCGTCTAAATAAAATGACCTAGCTAGCTCGTTTTACTTATACTATTACCAACATAAAAACGTTGGGAACTATATATGGTTTTAAAAATATGATACATGCACTTATAATATATATCATATACACCGCCATGGATCTAATTTGTAGTTTTTTGTTTCTGAATATAATAGATTAATTTGTTTTTTTTTTTTTTTTTTTTACTATGTGATATTATTCAACTTTATAATCAGTTCAAGCTTTCACATAGAATGGGGCCAAGGCCCAAACATATTTTAAGTTATTGAAAATTATATGATTGAAACTGTGGCATATTTTCGATATTGGATTTCTTTTATAATTTAAGTTGGCTCAGAATTCAGGAAAATGATTCGGTTTCGGTTTCGGTTTCGGTTTCGGTTTCCTTTTTAATAATTTGGACAAAATATAGAATGAATAATTGGTCTAGTATTTAAAGCTTTCTTCGGGGAGTAAAAAGTTCTTTCAAGAATTTGAATTAAATACTAAAAAATTTCTGGTCTAAAAATTATCATTTTACTACTTAATGATTTAGAATAACTAGTTAAGCATTTAGAAGTTATTACAACTCTAATCATTTACGAAAAAAACACAAAGTAGATAAATACCTTTAACATAAAGCTATTACCAATCAGTCGCTTTGGCCGAGTGGTTAAGGCGTGTGCCTGCTAAGTACATGGGGTTTCCCCGCGAGAGTTCGAATCTCTCAGGCGACGATTCATACTTTTTTTAGGCTAAAAATTGCCTCCAATCATTTGCTTGTTTTCAGTTGGGTAATTGACACTTTGCACCCTCTAATTACATGTCATTCGCACTTTATACCCTTAAATTGAAAATTTGGCAGAATTCATCCTCCAAGTACACTTTTTTGGCACTTTGCACCCCCATTCACCTTTTAGCTAAAAAATAACCTATTTGTGGGATTTTAAGATGGATAAATTTCTCTTTATTTTATTTTTTTAGAAATTTAAAATACTTCTAATGGCATGTAATTCGAGGATGCAAAATGCGAAATAAATTATTGCACTCATGTGTAGTTGTAAAAATTATATTATTGAGTTCCGGTTGTTAATTACTTCATATATAGATATCAGACAACCATCATTAAGGTATCCTAAATCAACTGACATCTACTCCTTGAGCTCTCGTAACTATTATTCACTTATTAAAATATGCCGGATATAAAAAACCACTTGGTTATATAGCTTGTCAAGGTCGTGAATTCCTTCGATAAATAATTTTCAGTAAATGATTAATGCAACTATCCAAACCACTTGGTTATATAGCTTGTCAAGGTCGTGAATTCCTTCGATAAATAATTTTCAGTAAATGATTAATGCAACTACCCAAGCCTCTCTCGACTCATACATAATCTCACCTATGGAATTTCCAACGATTTTTATTAGAAAATTTATGATACATTAAACAAGTTTATTACAATTTCCAAATTTATGATTTTATTAATTGAAAGATGAATACCATATTTTTAAAAATTAACACGAAATGTCTATCTTGTACAATAAAAGAATGTGGTATATGTTCATGAAAAAAAAATGATGAAGAAGGGTATAATTCCAAATTATGATAGTCAAGGAGGGCAGATGTCAAAATTACAAATATTTGGGGTATGGTAGCGAAATAAGCATAATCCAGGTGATGTGGATCCTTAATTTGCCTATTTTGCCACTTCAAATAATAATTACTAATTACGTATATGATTCATTCATTAATATTTTACTATATATAATACCAAAATAATGACGTCAAAAATAAAAATATAGCCTCTTAAATCCATTTGTATTACGTCATCGGTTTATTCTACGCTCCACCAGATGAGATACACTGAATAGATCTTTACTATTCATACACACACAAACATACACAGCCACATTGATGTGTGTAGATCAACGGCAAAAAAATCGATCGTTCTCAAAAATCCTTCAACAGTTTGCGAACTTGTTCGAGTGTGACGAAGAGGACGACGGTGAAAGGACCCTGTCTAGATATGGTCGGAATGAATCCTTTATATAGAGCCATGGGCCCCTCCGCCCTAATAGTCTTCATCGCACAGTCCACCGCCCCCTTGTACGGCGGCGCCGCCCCCTCCTCAACCCTCATGTTCATCACCCTCGTCTTTATCACGTCCACCGGATTTGACACCACCGAACGCCACGAACCCGGCGCCGAAGCTGGCGGTGACGTGTGTCCCGAGGCCGTCGTTCATCAGACGCTTCTCGAGAATCAACTCCTTGAACTGGTCGTACGATGCCAGCTGTGAAGCGGTGACCAGCATAGCGCGGTTCACAGTAAGGGATGAGCCGCGCCACAGGCTACCAATCCCCTCGCTCCTGCTCATCTGCGTGATTGCGTCCACCACGCTCTTGTAGTTCCGCCTCTGTGGTATTGGGAGACGCCCGTCGGCCTGCATCCGTACCATCGCCACGTCGGCTGGGTTCCCCACGGCGGCGCCGATCCCTCCGGCGACTAGTCCGGCGCCGATTTTACTCGTGAGTGGCATGGTTTTGGTTTCCGGGTCGGTCCACTTTGTCTTGAGGACCTCGTAGAGACCCATTCTCGTGGTGGAGTAGAGTGTCTGCCGGAGTACGGTGGCGGATATGCCGGAGAATAGAGCTCCGGCGCCGTCCTGCTGTATGATCCGCAGTCCGACGGAGACGGGACCCACTCGGGGAGGAGGAGTTGGGAAATTGTGGGCGGCGGCGGTGGTTTGGAAGGCGAGAGCAGGGCGGAGCGACGCCGGCTGAACAGGGGCGGCGGCGGCGGAGGACTCGCCATGAAGCTGCATACGAACCTTGATGAGATCGAGAGGGTGGGTGCTGCAACCGGCGACAATGGAAGCGATTCCTCCTTCTGCAAATCCCTTCAAACCCATAATGCAGTATATAAATGAATTATTTTATGTCTGCCGGAGAAGAAATAAATGAAAGAAGAAAGAATGAAGAAATAGTGAGTAGATAGATGATTTCAGTATGTGTGTGTGTGTGTGTGTGTGTATATATATAGAGAGAGGGTGGGTGAAGAAAAAGGAAGAAGGGGGGAAGCTAATTAACAGCAGAAATGGAAGAAAATTGAATATTAAAATGGACGCGGCTTAATTTATTGACTTTTTTTTTTTTTTTTTTTTTTTTTTTGAACTATTCCAAATTGTTTAATTAATTTATTTGTTGACTTTTTTGATATTTTGAATTTGGTTTAATTGAATTAAATTTGGAAATTAACAATTTAGTTAGTTTGAGTGTGACATGTTTATTAATCAGATGTGTTTCCCTAGTGTCACACTTCATGGAGGTGCCAGGTGTCTTGCCATCCAAAAATATCTCAAGTCACTTGCACAAGGTTTTATTTTATTTTTATTATTATTATTATTAATTTATTTTATATATAAGTAGGTTTTGATGGATTGAATGTAATTTATGATTACATCCAATTAATTACTTTTTAAATTTAAGGATTGTGAAGAATATGATTTAAATGTAATTGGCTTAGAGAGATCTGATGGATATAAAGACAAAGATGATGGTTAAGATAAAGATGAAGATAAAATTGGAAACAAGTATTAAGGTAACGAGTGTCGAAGATAATAGACTTAAGCCTCGTTTGGTTGGAGAGATTGACCATCAAATAACTTAAAATTTGTTTGATGTTTAATAATTGCATGTTATCATGGTTTATCTTGGCTGTTACGATTTTTTTTAATTGACCATCCATAGTTCAATAAAAAAATAATTAAATTATTTAATCTTGTCAACCAAACGAAGCTTATAAATTTTATTTTAGCAAGTGTAATCTCAGTTTTGGATATTTGTTTTGGATCTATAATAAGTGGACTATGATTTATGGTGTTTGTTGATTCATGTTCATATTTAACATTTTATGATGAATGTATTATTTAAAAAAAAAAAAAAATTAGTAATAAAAATAATAATGATGATTAAACCTCAAAATTATCATTCGACTTTGGCAAATGGGGTGGGAGTGGGGTATTTGGTAGTTGTATAATTGATTGAGAAATAAATGCAAAGCCAATAATTAAGATTTTTGCGTGTTAGGCTTTATTTAAGAAAGCTACAATTCAAAGTTGTATGTATAAGTTGAATTACTCTCTACGGTTCTAATTATATAATGGCCTACTCACAAAAGTTGATCAATAATTGAATTCCATATTGAAAATGTATGTGTTAAATTAGATTTTTTTGATCTCTAGTTTGAATTAGTGACCATAAGCAAATATAAATGGAGTAATTAAGAAGAATATTACTTTTAATATTAGTTTGATCTCTATTACTAAGACTTTCGATCTAAGTCGAACTCATCATACAGAGTTGCCAAGTGCAGTTTATGTCTCTTGTATGACATGCAGACTGTTGAATGTGAACATAGTTTGTCGAACACATATGTGAATGCGAGATTCATTTGTATAAAATATACACTAGTTTATAATAGTACTTGAAAAAAAAAGGAGATAATCTTAGTTTTGACCACTCTATTATAGTGTTATATCCTCGGATTATATATAGTGATTAAAGATGTCAATATATGTATATCTTTGTTGGCATATGGCCTATTGTATGCTGCATTGCGTGAAATACACCGACTAGATTTTTAAAACGTTAACTCATATACACTGTACACACAAATACAAACACTCAAATTGGTGTGTAGATCAACAATGAAAATTATAGAGATAAAAGTTGGACGAACAGTCGAATTAATTATGCTATTACATGATTAAGTTCCTCAAACGACTCTTGCACAATTGTGGCGGATCATCTTTTCCATGAAAAAAGATGTTTTATAATTAAAAAAAAAATCAAATTTAAATCGATGGAAACTTAATTAAACTGTGTTTCTTTATAAACCAATATTATGAAAATAAAAAATAATATTAATATTATAAATATAATTTTCGAAAGAAATAGAATTCATAGAAACACTTTTAATTCTGTAGGGGGGGGCCGGCCGCCTTCTACGCAGCAACTCGGTCCGGTCTATCAAGGTGTCCAATTATATGTTGTCAATGCTTTTGACAGTCAACTAACTCATCCTTTATATTTAATGTTTACTCCCAAAAAAATTGGAATAATAATAATCAAATTCCAAGTCAAATATCTTGATGAATTTTTCCAACAGCCTTTTTTTTTTTTGAAAATCATTTAAACCCAAGAATTCTTGACTTTTAACCTTTAATTTGACTGTTGATTGCCCTTTTGTCCAGGTCAAGTGATGGTTGAAATTGAAACTTGAAATTATAAGTGTCCACATTATTAGAGGTTGCTGTCAAATTAAGGTTATTTTTGTCAATAAAAAAAATGATTTTTGGTTGAGTAGATGGAAATTGGATATTTAATTTGAACCACAAAATATTGTTATTTGAAAAAAGAAAAGGAAAAAGTATATGTGGTCGTACATGCAAAAATTTAAAATATAATATATATATATATATATATATATATATATATATATATATATATATATATTTATATAATATAAATAAAATATGGAAACTGCATATCTTATACATAAAAGTAATGAATGCTAGGGCATTAATCTAGGGGTGGTAATTGGTAAACGAGCTGAGCGGACTTGTGAGTTCGATAAGCCGGCTCGAAAAAGCTCAAACTCGAACTCGAGGTTGCGAGCTCGAGCTCTATGACGAGCTCAAACTTTTTTTTAGTTGTTCGTAAGCTCACAAGCCAACTCGCGAGCCTTGTTTTTTTTATTCATTTTATATATTAGTATTTATTTAAATAATGTATAATAATATGAAATATTATAGAAATAATATAAAAGAACGTATATCAAAATGTATATATATTTAAAGTTTATTGTTTATTTTGTAATTTTTTTTATTATAGTCAAAGTAATTTTTAAGAATAAAAAATTAATAGTTAAAGAAGGGTAAATTACAGCCACACCAGATGTATGGTCAAAATTACGAAAAAAAAACCCTTCTGTTTGGATAATTACATTTACCTCTTAACATAATCATCTAGATTCCGTGGAATGTTCTCTAGCTTGTACTCGTTTTGTGCAAAAATACAGTTTCTGATGCACCACAATATGATATATACAAGTCCAAAAACATATCTTATGATCATCTAGCTTCAAAATGTGCAGTTCGAATGGGATAAAACGGGTCCGAAATTGAGAATATTCCATATAATTTAGAAGATTCTACTAAATTTGAAACCGCAAGGGTGGACGTGTAAGAAGATTTATAGTTGAGGGGTGGTTGTAATTACCCAAAAATGAGGGGTGGTTGTAATTACCCAAAAATGAGGGGGGGGGTGGGGGGGGGGGAGTTTCGTAATTTGACCATACCTCAATGGGTGGTTGTAATTTACCCTAAAAAAATCAAAATGAGCTTGGGCTCGAGCTCGATCTCAAGCAAAAAAAAAAAAAAGTCGACGAGCTTGAGCCGGCCAATACATGCGAGTTCGGCTCGTTCACCCTACATTAAACCAGTGTTCTAAAAATCGGTCGAGGTGGTCCAAAACCTTTACGATTTTAGTGTAAATGTTTGAAAATTCGGGTTTTTGCCTGTGAGGCGGTTTTAGGCGGTCTGAGGCGGTCCGAGGCGGTGAAACCTTTAAGGCGGGTCAAACTCCGTGGCAAAAATCGGTAAAAAATCGGTTAAAAATCGTTTTTTTTTTAATTCAAAATAAAAGTTGGATTTTAATAAAAGAAAATATGAGTTTATGCCTTATTTTGTTTATGTTAATTATTATTGTTACAGAACTGAATAAATGTTCATTCAAAAATTTTGCTTTTTTATTTATATTTTATAAGGATATTTATGTATTATGATCTTATAATTATTAATTTTATTATGTTATTAGGATATATACATGATAGAGATATAACTATGTTTAAATATCTTTTTATATATGTTTGGAGTATTTATAAATAATATTTAGAAATATATTATATTAAATTTTAAAACCGATTTATTTCCGATTTATCACCGATTAATCACCGCCGCACCGATTAATCGTGAGTCGTGCCTGACCGACTCGGACCCGATTACCGCCTTTTACAACCTTGCATTAAACCTAGGAAACCTTAATGATATCTTTGTAATTACTTTTTTATATATTTTTTAAAATTAAATTATATTGCGTTAAAAAAAATTCATGTGGAATTCTTTCAACCTCAATCTCCTATTTTTCATTAGTTCTCTCTAATTATTATGCAATGAAATTTTTAATCCGGGGAGAATGTTTGGCTAAGTTTATAAGCTGTTAAAATTAACTTTTAAGCTCTCCCAAAGTGTTTGCTATTTTTTTATACAAAAATCTTAAATTTTAAAAAAATAAGTTGCTCAAGTTCGGTTTCGGTATCTATCTCCTAGGGCATTAACCCTAGGAAACTTTCGAAAAAATAATCCGATGGAGAGCAATCCAAAGTGTTTGCTAATTTTTTAAAAGAAGATCTTAAAATTTTAAAAAATATGCTGCTGGAGTTCAGTTTCAGTATCGATTTCCTAAAGCATTAACCCAATGAAACATTTGAAAAAAAATAATCTCATGGAGCTCATGGAGAGCAAATGATGTCTTTTTTTTTTTTTTTTGAAAGTACACCTATTCCACCTATTTAATTTAAAATTTTATAATGAATAAAAATGGCTTATAAGATTATTATCCAAACACTTTAAAAATTAACCCTATAAATAAAAGGGGTAATATGCTAGAGGCCCCTATTTGAAAACATAATTAGATGTGGAATACAATTTTAATATTTTTGTATGAACTAAATCTTTTTTTAGAAAAATAAATATGAGTCACATCCTCAATTTTTCTTTTATTCCTAGTTTACCCTTAACCTAAATCCATAAATTCTAAAGTCACGTTTCTCTCAGATTTATTTTTCTTTTTCCTTCTCTCTCTCTCTCTCTCTCTCTCTCTCTCTCTCTCTCTCTTGATATCTCTATCTCTCTTTATCTCTTTCGTTCTCCACCACTCCAATCCACTATTGAGGGGGGCGGTGGTTATGGCGATGGAGACGACGGCAATAAGCGGATGGTTGTAGAGGCAAGGAGACGGCGGCTACGGTGGTGTATGGCCAGATCTATGGTGGAAGGCGCGACGACGGTGGTGTATGGCCAGATCTATGGTGGAAGGCGCGACGACGGTGTTGGGCATGGATGATGGCGTGACGGCAACGCTCGGTGATGGTGGTGGTGGAGGAGCGGATCTAGATTTTGGTGGGAAATTTTTTAAAAGAATCGATTTGGATGTCTACAGATGTCTGTGAGTGTCCATGGGTGTCAATGGGTGTCTATGGGTGTCTGGCGGCTAGGGTTTGTAGGAGGAGTTAGGGTTTTAAGATGTCTATGGGTGACTACGGATTACTACGATTTCCTATGAGTTTCTGAGATGTCTACGATCGAAAAAATTAAAAAAAATGATAATTTTCAATTTATGTAGAAAAAGAAAGGGAGAAAAAATAGATTTTTATGTAATGAAAAAATACGGAAAAAAAAAAAAACAACAACAACGTATTCTACGTAAGAATTAAAAAAAAATGCTAGATGCAAACTTAAAAATATTAAATAATACCATAGTTTATCATAGTATATTTACAATTTGGTGTAATTTCGAATTTGTGAGTGCATGGGCATTTTTGGAATGAATTTAATAAAGAATGCAAAACAAATTTTAATTAAACTTGTCATTTAATTTTAATAAGGTCTGTCTCCAGAGACTTATATCTTAAGAGTTAAGACCCTTAAATAAAATGTAAAAACCAATCACCTCTTAAAATAACTTATCAAATATAAGAGTTTATAATAATGTTAGCAAAAGGGACCCTATATCTTCTATAGAGACCGATTTTTTTTTTCTCTTATTAATATCACTGACCAACATAAAATTCACAATCCATGTTTAAAAGAGCAAAGAAAGATATCCTATATCCATAAAATCCTTTCCAAAATTAGAGAAATTTATTCTTTGAATTTTCAATATTATTACTCATATTTATATTACATATTAATAATAATAAATAAACAAAACTCAGAATCTTAATGGAAAATTATATAATTTGACTTGAGTTTCAAAATCAAGTAGGGCGAGCTTACCTTTTCAATGATTAAACAATTTGAAAAAGTCCCCCCCAAAAAAAAAAAAGCCGCGTAAAAGTTGGATTCTTAATACATTTCCATTTTTTTAAATTATTGTTCTCTCTTTTTGTGTGCCCACTGTTAAACCTAGTTTCTCTCTCTCTCTCTCTCTCTCTCTCTCTCTCTCTCTCTCTCTCTCTATATATATATATATACCTCCATTACTCATCATTTCATTACAAACCATTTTCTCTCATCAATTAATTAAGCTTTTTTCTTCTTCCAATTTTCCTAATTCGGACCAATCAATTAATTAATTAATTAATTAATTATGGGTTTGAAGGGATTTGCAGAAGGAGGAATCGCTTCCATTGTTGCCGGCTGCAGCACCCACCCTCTCGATCTCATCAAGGTTCGTATGCAGCTTCAGGGCGAGTCCTCCGCCGCCGCCCCTGTTCATACGGCGTCGCTCCGCCCTGCTCTCGCCTTCCAAACCACCGCCGCCGCCCACAATTTCCCAACTCCTCCTCCTCCTCGAGTGGGTCCCGTCTCCGTCGGACTGCGGATCATACAGCAGGACGGCGCCGGAGCTCTATTCTCCGGCATATCCGCCACCGTACTCCGGCAGACACTCTACTCCACCACGAGAATGGGTCTCTACGAGGTCCTCAAGACAAAGTGGACCGACCCGGAAACCAAAACCATGCCGCTGACGAGTAAAATCGGGGCCGGACTAGTCGCCGGAGGGATCGGCGCCGCCGTGGGGAACCCAGCCGACGTGGCGATGGTGCGGATGCAGGCAGACGGGCGGCTCCCGGTATCCCAGAGGCGGAACTACAAGAGCGTGGTGGACGCAATCACGCAGATGAGCAGGAGCGAGGGGATTGGTAGCCTGTGGCGCGGCTCATCCCTTACGGTGAACCGCGCTATGCTGGTCACCGCTTCACAGCTGGCATCGTACGACCAGTTCAAGGAGTTGATTCTCGAGAAGCGTCTCATGAACGACGGCCTCGGGACACACGTCACCGCCAGCTTCGCAGCCGGGTTGGTGGCGTCGGTGGCGTCGAATCCGGTGGACGTGATAAAGACGAGGGTGATGAATATGAGGGTTGAGGAGGGGGCGGCGCCGCCGTACAAGGGGGCGGTGGACTGTGCGATGAAAACTATTAGGGCGGAGGGTCCGATGGCTCTCTACAAAGGATTCATTCCCACCATTTCTAGGCAGGGTCCTTTCACCGTCGTTCTGTTTGTCACTCTTGAACAAGTCAGAAAATTGTTCAAGGATTTATGAACAAGAAGAATTAATTTAATTTAATTTAATTTATTTATTCTTTATTTTGATGACGTATGAAATTATGATACTAAATTTGTAACAAATTAAATACTATATATTGAATATTTATTGGAATCTTTAGTCAACTTCTGTTTCAGCGAGTAATATTCATACAGAGACGCAATAATTATGAATATAAAGATTATTTTATTAAAGAAATCTGTCTTAAAATATAGTAGTTGATTTGAATAAATATCTCATAATTTGAGAGTTTTATTAGAATGTTGTACATTATTAATTGTGCTAGGAAACACGTGTCTGAGTGTTATTGGATATATAAATGTGGTTCTCATAAATTTAGGGGACACATCAATCTAATACGGGTAAATTACAAAAACTCCCCTGAACTTAGTTAAATTACGAAAAAAGTCCACCTATTCGCAATTATAAAAATTCCCCCACGCTGGAAGCCATTGATGTCTTCTCCCTGAAAGTGCCAAAAATATGATTTAAGTTATAAACGAATTTGGCGAGTTTGATATATGTTTCAAGTTATAGCCGACTATATACTGCAAATTTGGTGTAGTCATATATATTGTATTAACATTTAAAAACATATTATCTATGTGATTATGTATTCCAATCTATATTTGTTTGTTACAAATTGTTTCATAATTAATATAAATATTTAAATTGTGAATTTTGTTGTTGATGGAGTTATTGTATATGTATATAATGGTGATATAGTTTTCCCAAACACTGCTGTAATTTATATTAACATTGATAATCAAATTAGAAATTCATATTAAATTTACAACTAGCTGTATAATTAAATTTACAAAAAAAAAAAAACAAACAAGTAACCTGAAAATTAATTAACGTAGAAAGCATTTGAAATGAAATATAGCTATAATACAAAATATTTATTTCTTATAAATTACCAACTGCTCCATGAAAAAACTATTATTGATCTTCCTATAATTTATACTAATAAATAAAAGAAAATTAAATAAATTAATAAGCCATGAGGATTGGCCTTCTCTTCATCCATCACTAGAGTAAGCCCCCCTTTCTCTCAAAACATCGAAAACTTTGTCAGAAAATTCTAATAATAGTAATTATTTCCTTTATTGTTCTTCACATCTTTGCAGAGCATCGATCGAACTTCAAGAATAGATCGAGGGGGTTCGATGTCTTTCTCCTGTAACGCATTTCCAAGCAACCGTTGCATTTGCGAAGCAAATGTGTCGTCTAAAACCTGAATATATTTTACCAACAAAGTATAAATATTATCGATGCGAACCCAAATACAAAATAAAATAAAAAATTGTCGACACTGAATATTTATGAACAAGGGAAATATTTTTTATCGAAATTTATCGACTCTTGAATTAACTTACAGTGACTGCGACTCGAGAGGCTTTGTACCACGATTTATTTTCTTTCCTGTCTTCAAGAAACTTTAGCACTTCCTGCAATTAATCAAAACCCTCTATTTAGAACAAGTAAATTTTATTTAAAATAAGATGAATTATCAAAATCTGATTTTAATAAATCGAACCTGGCCCATGCGATCCCAAAAAGCTCGGCAAAGTATTACAAAAACTTGGGTTTCGAGCACAGCGTGCAATTGGTTAACTGTATTAGCCAACAACTCCTTCAAAGGCTGCATTCTGCTTCTCAAATCTGATTCTATCACATTATCCTTCGAATCTTGGATTATTTTCTTCAGCTTCGTAATGTTGTGCAGTTTCGTCTGTAAAACAAAATCATCGGAATTTCCAAATTTTCAGTCACCTATACTATATAATACATAGTAATATTGATATAATAAGTATCATTATCGGAAATAAATTGGAATTTTGGAATTAAAATTGGATCGGAAATCGGAATCTAGTATATGTATTCCAATTTCATTAAAAAAAAAAAGAAAATTGGAAATCGGACGGAATTCGGAAACTCTGTTCCGATTTCCACCCCCAGAGTCACTCGTCTATGGTAATTAAATTTAAAACAGTGCATAAAAAAAAATGAAATTACTAATAAAAAAAAATACTCACATTTGCAACAAGTTTATCAATAACCGCTTGCACGTAAACTCTGAATTTGGATCTTATCATCACCGTAATTTCACTGAGGCTCTCACCGGGGACCACATTGCCACTTTCGGGTATGCACTGGCCCCACAACTTCACTTGTGATTCTATTTGGGGTCGTAAAATATCGAGCATTCTTTTCATGGAATTCAAAAGAACCCCCAACTGAAAAAACAAAAAAAAAATTTGTCAAATAAATAAACAACTTTTTCGAAAAAGAAAAAGAAAAAAAAAAGGTTCATATTAATAATAATACCTCGGTCGAGACATTGTAAGGGGGCATATTCCCCTTGGCGAATTTCTGGACATATTTGAGTCCAAATTTCATAGGCATTGTGCTTTCTTTCAACGGAGATAAAACTTCAGCATACTGCTTCTCCAAGCTTTCCACTACTGCCTTTTCGATATCCGCAATCGCCTTTTTCAATATACAAAAAGAAAAGCACACATTAGAAATAACCTATTAATTCAAAAAATAAAAAAATAAACAAATTAATGCATATACATTTTCCAGTGCAAAAGTATATTCTGGCCAACGACTGATGATGACATCATACTCGGCAAGTGTCTCCTTTAGGCGGCCGTAGATATCGTCAATAAAAGGAGTTGTGGAATGCTGTGTGGTTAAGCTCGGACATTTAACCTGCGTTATTATTATTTACATTAAAAAAAATGAAACAACATAATACAGAATAAGCAGTCAAACAAACTGTGTAAAATCGAAAAAATAATTCGAGATTTACAGGATTAATAAATATTAAAACTAATTCAAGAATCATACCGAATCAAGCTTGCACATTTCCAGTAAAGCAAGACGCTTATCTTGAATCCAAATACTTATATACACGTGGAACAACTCTTTTGCGTCAACCCCACCTTTAATATAACTGCAACAAACTCCTTATTATTAACAATCAATATTTAAAATTATAAAAAAAAATTAATCACCATTAATTTATCTATTAGTACCTAATATTCCACAAAGAAAGATCCCTTTGAAAATCGGCAGTAGCTATAACAAGTTCGACGACTGGAGGTGTGGGTCCCGCAGGAGGACACGAATTAAGGAATGCCCTCAATCTGCTGTACAGTTCCGTGCTATAAATAGACGATGAAAGATTCGGAAGATCTACAAAACTGCATATAAAATATATATCAATTAGCAAAAATAGCCTGAGTGTAGAAAAAAAAAACATTGGACAAAGGCAAATTAAAATCACCTAGGAAGAAGATCCCGTTTATGGATTTCAATGTCGGTCAAAATCTCGTTACGGATATTCAGACAAAGTGTTTTCATTTTCTTGTAAGCTGTGTTGAGAGCCACTGGATCCAATAATATATTTTCGTGATTATTTGAAACAAATTCGTCGGTTTCTGACAGGTGTCTTCTAGACCTTTTTCTTGCAGCATTCTGTAATAAAAAGGAAAATGAAAAATGAGCATGTGTTTATTTGAGACTGGAAAATGTTTTTTTTTTTTTTTTTTTGGTTATACCTGAAAATATCTGCATAACTTTGACTGCACCTCGGGTGAAAGAATGTCGTGAAGAAGCTTGTAAAGCTTCAAAGCGGGGCCCAGAGCAGGTGCTGCTACTCCTGTGGGAGGTCGAAAAATATCTACAATACCTGAGGGAGATGATTCGTCGAGTGATTTGTAATTCTCGAAAACTAATGTGAGTATTTGCTCGATTTCTTCGGATACTTCTCCCAATAGGCGAACCTAAGCATAGAGGAGTAAAACTGTCAACATCAGCACTTCCGGAAAAAGTTCGATTTTGTTTTTGCAAGTGTAAAACTAATTCAAATTCCGTTCCAAAAAATATCGGAAATTCAGAATTTTTTCAATCGGAATTGGCGGATTTCAAAATTTCCATTTTATTAGTCCCCTTATAACATAAAATACATAATAATATTGATGTTATGAGTGTAATTTTCAAAAAACAAAAATTCGGAATTTTCGTATATTAAAATAGGACTGGAAATCGGAGTCTAATATGCATTCCAATTCTGTTTAAAGAAACAGAGATTTGGAATCCAGGCTGAACAATAATTGTTTCAAAATCGAAAATTATCTGGTCGGAATCGGCCGGATTCAGAAATTCCGTTCCAAATTCCACCCCTACCAAAATACACAACTAATTAACAATATTTGAAAGGTTCTCTCATTTTCATTCATTTTTCACAAGATATAAGATATTCACTTCGTGATACGATACGAGTTGCATACATGATAATTCACCAAAAAATGAAAGTGAAATTTAATAATTTGAATTCACGAACCTCTTGGTGACTCAACGTGCTTTTAGTTTTCCCTTTCATTATCACAGGTAACAGCAAATCGTGCACTAAATCAAGACAGTCTGCAGTTGGAGTAGCAACATCCATAACATACGAAAGATATCTGTAACAAAGCAAAGGAAATTGAAATTAAATAATTAAAACAAGTAAAATAGCAACAAAAAAAAAATAGAACAAAAACTGTTCCAATAAAAATATATATGTACCTGAGCTTCGTGTATGCTTCTGAAACTCCAAAATAAGATGCAAATTCCGTCACCAGCCACTTCCATGGACCATGTAGTAACAAATTCCTTTGCTGAAACTGTTGTACTTTCATCGCAGTCTCTAAAACAATATCGTACGCAATTGTCTCCGCCACAGATGCACACTATATAGAGATACAAAAGTTAGTCAATATATTTTCAACGGAAAAACATTAATTGTAAAAACAGCTAAACATCAATCAATTTTTACATGCAAAATGTTACAAATAATCAAGAAATATTGTTTGACAAAAATCGTAAAATACCTTACGACTACTTTCGTCAGTGGTAGTTGAATAACTGATGCATAACTGTATTTTGCCGACTTGTTCATGCTCCGGTTCCCGATATATAAAACACTGACGTAGTTTGTCCCCCTGCATTTCACAACCATTACAAAAGTCGGTCACAACACACTAAGAAAAAGTCAATAAAAAGTCAAACTTGAGATTCTAAATACCCTACCGATTCGTCAGCAATATCAGCCACTTGAACTAGAGCATGCCCACAACACTTTCCATTAGAATCCTGGACCTCAATTATCAGATCATCTCCAAATCCATCTGGCAAACTATATGCCACACAAAAAGAGTTCATAAATAAAAAAATCGTTCCTGTTTCGTCACGATAAAGAAATAATAAAAGGAAAAATGTGAAAAAAGCACATACAACAATCGAGTTTCACCAGATCCTGGCTGCATTCTAGCTGCATCTTCTTCAGGCGAACTTTTTAATCTCAACAAACACGAATATGATTCTGCATCAAAATAAATTAACAAATTCCATTCAACGATTTTTAGATCAATAAGAAACTATGGCAATGTCACGTTTCGATTTTGTTCCCAAAATAAATCAATATTTGTTAAGCTTTTCAAAACACATAATATCCCCTAATCAATTCCGAAAAAGTTTCTCTCTCAATCAGACATGATTCCGAAAATTCAGTATTTTCAAGCAACAAATACAAGAAAGATAAATATAAGTCAATAAAAATAATCATAATACCTTGTACAACTTGATAGGATGACGAACTGCTACGCCAAGCATTAAATCCAATCTTAATAAGCTCGGGAAATTCTTTTAAATACCTTCGAGTTCCAACAACTAGATACGCCATGCTTTGATGTAACAAAGATCCATTCACACCCATAACCGGTGTTATTACACGATCTCTTCGTAAAGCCCTTCTCTCAGAAGAGACAATTGATTTCACATTCGTTAACCGAAGATGCAAAGATTCCAACTTCACCATGGATGTTGACTTCAAAGATATAAATGTACAGCCGCTAGGTGGGTCCACCCCCATTTTCACTTTACGCACTGCACAATAATTGGATTTTAGAAAAGGAAATACATTTTCTACAAGAATTATGTATCGGCTTTTTTTACCTTGGACTTTAATTTTGCCGATTGTTTTCTTAGTCTTTATAGAAGCACCTTCACTGACAAGTTCTGAGGAATCTTTGGTCATTAGTTCTTCTTCTGATTGTAACAATATGTGTTTCAACCTATAATTCAGCGAGAAATAATTTAAATACCATCGGTAAGAATCTATCATATTTCCATGCAAAAGAAGCCAATAACTAATAACAGATGCTTTTTTACAGAACAATGACCAGCTGGCAATTAAACGAAGATGAAATAACTTCCAACATTACTTCAAATGAAATACAAAGGTGTATAAAAAATAAAAAATAAATTCGGTGAGATTATTTAGAAACACACACACACAAAACAGAAGAGAAAAAAAAAGTAACTATGATTACCCAAAGGCATCCCTCAGCAAAGCACATTCGTTTTCCAAAAAAGGAGGAGCTTCAGAACAGCCCCTGGCCCACGAGTGAAGACATAGACGTACACATGCATCGTACGAGAGAACAGCATACCAATAACCTAGCCCACTGTAATAACAGGAAAATAAAAAGATCCAAAATGAGTATTGCGAAATACAGATTTTTCACGTCATAAGAATATGTATATATATATATATATATATATATATATATATATATATATACCTTGCATGATAAGTAGGATATCGAACTGGCAAAGGGTTAGAAGAAGATGCAGCAGCTGCATTCCTGTGGAAAAAAATAATCTTTATTAACTTCAGAAAAATTGAAGGTTATTATTCTAAAACCAAGAAATTCCAAAGACGTATTTATTTATTTATTTATTTTTATTATTGACATATATGTACCTTACAGATACTTCAGCAGGAGTTTCGACTTCTTGTGCAGAACTCGAAATTGTGCTTTTGCACTTGTTAGGTTCAATCTCAGATTTTGCTGAGCAAGTGTTGGAGTCATCAGCTCGAGAAATCGGAAGTTTCTCGAAGACTTGATTTGAAGGCTGAAAAGAAGAGCTTGCTAATGGGGGCGCACTTGGGATATCATCTTCATCATCATCGTAGATTTTATGCTGCTGTTTTTCATTGCGCAATTCCTGCAAAAACCATTATGTAAAATTAGAAGAAAAAAATAAAAATAAAATAACTAGATAACTGGATGGGCTAGAAGTCCCTAAAAAATTGCTATTAGCTATGATAATTTATGTTTGTTAAGTTTTCCAACACGATTTCAAAGATTTCTCTCTCCTCGAAATGTCTTCAATAAAAAAAAAAGCAAACAAATATCACTTCATTTTGTAAATTCTTCTTCCAAAACATATCAGAACAACTATGTAAAACTCATTAATAAAAAAACCCGAACCTGTTTCAGAGAATCCTTATTTGGCTGCACATTACTACTCGTGCCAAAAAAGTTACCCCCTCGATCAAATTTCCTCTCGAGCAAAACCCCATTATTGCTTTTGCCCCTAGGCGGTGTAGAGTTCACCTCCGAACTCGTGGCAGATTCCGACGACTCATCGTACACAAAACCGCGGTTCGCATTATTACTAAATCCACCACCACCACCTGTAGTGCGTGCATTGATATACACATTGTGTTTAGCACTGGGGACTTTATCATCTTGCGGAGAAGCTTCCGGGGAGTAGCGGGCCCCGTAGCGGTCATCCTCGGAATCTGAAGTGTCCATGTCAGACTCCGACAGGTCATTAATTACCCGGCTGACATTCATATGACCGCTCCGATATCTCGAAACAGAAGGCAAACCGAGGCTACTGCCACGATATCTCAGCCCATGAACTGAATCGGATTGTAGCTTCTGATGCGACATTTGAGAAATTTCACCTGTTCCCAAACATATTCCAAATCCAAATTTCAAATATCTCAAGAAAAAAGTAAATTAAATAAAAAATTCCTTTACTTCTTGCTTTTGGGACATATAAACAAACACCTGGCGCACAACCCAAAACACTTGGCGCACAACCCAAAACACATGCGCACCGAACAGATATAGATAATTAATCAACGGAGAAATCGAAGCTTTAAGCATACCAAATTTCTTCACGAAGAAGAACAAACAAAAGAGAACTTGATTTTGAACTAGAATTTGTGAATCGAGTTTTGTTTTTCAGCAGCGAAACGCAGTGTTAAAACCCTAATTTGGGAGAATTAACTCGTCATAAATCCCCAATGCAGAACACAACTCAATTTCCAAAAAAAAAAATATCTACAGAACTGATTCAATTGCTCTCGAAGTTTGTGCCAAAAATCACCATAAAATAAAAAAAATAAAAACTCAAAAATAAAAAAACTCCAGAAATTACCATAACCACTTACAATGCGAATTCTCGTGAGAGAAAATGAGAAATGCGAGAGAGCCCAACTCACTCTTTCCGTGCAACACTAAATAGCTTTCCTTTTTAGCTTTTTCCCCTCTTTCAAGAATCTATTTTTCCGTCTGTTTCTGCTGTATATTTGAATTCCATTTAAAGTTTCAAACTTTTGTTTTAAATGCAAATTCTTTTCAGGTAAAGAAAATTAAATTCCTCTCTTTTGCAAAAAAAGAAAAAGAAAAAAAAGTATACGTTGAGAAATGAAAAAAAGTGGGGAGAGATTATAATGGGAGGTGGTGGGGTTTGGAGTTTGAATTTTTCTTGCAACGGTCGGGTTCAGTCTTTTTTAGTTTTAGTGGCGCCGATTAAGATGGGGGGTTTATAGGTAATTAATTAATTCATATTTGTGGTTAATTAGGAATTAAGGAAATTGATTAGTGGTTTATAATTATAAGTATATGAAATATTCTAACTTTTATGAACTAAATTCTCTTTAGAAAAATAAATATGAGTCACATCCTCAATTTTTTTTTATCTCTAATTTACTCTTATTCTTAATCCATAAATTCTAAAGTCACGTTTCTCTCATATTTATTTTTATTATTTCTTCTCTATTTCTCTCTATTTCTCGATATATCTATCTCTCGCCATCTCTATCTCTCTATCTCTTTCGTTCTCCACCACTCCAATCCATTATTGAGTGGGGCGGTGATTATGGCAGTGGAGACGGCGACAATAAGAGGATGGTTATAGAGGTAAGGAGGCGGCGACTATGGTGGTGTAAGGTCAGATCTGTTAGGATAGTAGACTAAAAATCTCGGTTTTAGCTATAATTTTATTACTGAATTAATAAAATAGTTTATTATCATTTTATAAGAATCTGCACTATGGTATTCAATGCATTTAATTGATTGTTTGTCAATTAATTAAAAGCATAAGTCTAATATTCTAATAGTATTCGAGATGGTGTGCTACGGCGCACAGAAAGATCATTTCGAAAGTTCGTTTAGAATATAAAGATAAATGTTCACAATCTAGATGAAAATGGACTAACCATTGGTAAAAGATTGTAGCACAATATTTAAGTGATTGGTCTTGATCACAGTGAATAGAGAATAACTTTTGTAGTTATTGTTTTGACTTATTGTGCTAGCACATCCGGCATGTGTTGAACCGGACAAAGTGAAATAATTGTTTCATCACTGTTCAAAATGAAACTGTATTATTTCTAGTTGACAGTAAATTACTTACTCTCTTAATCCCTAGATAATTAACATACATATTTAATTGATGATCTCTACTTTGATGTCACAATGGGAGAGATTCCTATATTGAGTCAAATGGCCCCCGGTGCGTTGGGTAGAGACATTAAGAATTAATAGGTGGAAATTAATTATCGAAAGGAATCCACATCTCTGAAATATGAGATTGATATTAACCCTTGAGTAGCTTATAAGATTTGTTTATGCCAAGTCCTGGCCAGGTGGATTTCGTATCCGGCATACTCAAATAAGGTAAGCGGGCAAGACTCATGGAAAGAAACCATTTATTTTATTTAGCAGTGAATAAATTATTTGGTGGTTATAAGATATCTTAATGTGGGGAGAATCTAAGTAATGATCGACCGGAGCTCGAATGTAATATTTGAGAATATAAACGGGAGTTCAATAATTATTTGGTAGTGGAAAATAAATAATTATTTAATGATTAATTAAATGAATTCTTTTAAGAGTTTGGATTTAATTAATTATTAGTTGTCCGATTTATATTTTCTCCTTTAGTCCCTATTGTAGCCCAATGGATTTTCTAATTAATCGAGAAAATAAAGTTCAACTAATATTATATATTAGAATTAATATAGCCGAAAATTAAGTCCCCTTTGGATTGTAATTTTCGACTATATAGAGTTATAGAAGGAGTTGGATTTGTTTCCATATAATCCTCTCTATGTGTGACTCTAATTCCTTGTGCTATATATAATAGAGATTAGGTTGATGAGAGGGGATAACTCCTACACGCATATTCACGTTCCGGAGATGAGAATATTTTTCTCTTCTTCTTTTCTCTCTAAGTTTCTCGATTATAGATTTAGATTTCTTCAAGTACAAGTCCACCCTTGTAGAAGAATTATTAATCCGGGATATACAATAGAAGATTATAGGCTTTTAGAGCAAACTATAAATCCCGAATTTTCTGAGCAGTCCTGCGAAGAAATTCACCATAAATCAACCTTTAGTCGGATAGGCTCGAAATTTATACAGTAGCTTCCTAACCCTTAGCTCTACAATTCATCCAAAGGGTTTCTCGATCGGATTAACGATCGCGGAGATATCGATGAAGGAAGATGACTGGAGATGACTGGAAATTTCTAGACAGCAGTTCATCGAGGATTGAAGGCTTGGTGTGGATCCTCGTTCGTGCGCCGAAGATAGAAGCGGATCTGCTCGCGAAAACTGTAAGTTGCTAGATTAGATTTATTCCGCTTTAAACGAATCTAATCAAAGCATGTTAATAAAATTAAAACCGGCTAATCTAGAACCTCTTGCGAATTTTTATTGAATCCTGGGCTTCACATCCCAACAACATCTATGGTGGACGGTGCAGCGACGGTGTTGGGCATGGAGGACGGCATTGGCTGACAGCGGCGCTCGATGTAGAGGTTGCATCTGGAAGCTCAACGACGTTGGACAGGGGATGGCAGGCTCGTTGTTAGTTTATAACCAATAGGGATAGTCATGAGGTGGGCATGGGTGTGGGGAGAGGGAGAGGGGGTGTAGTGGTGGTGGTGGTTGTGGAGCGGATCTAAGGTTTGGTGGGGAAAATTTAAAAAAAATCGATTTTAGATGTCTACAGATGCTTGTGAGTATTTATGGGTGTTTGGCGGCTCAAATGAGGAGTTAGGGCTTCAAGATGTCTGTGGGTGACTACGGATTACTACGGTTCCTACGGGTTTCTGTAGATGTCTACGACCGAAAAAGAAATTAAAAAAATCATAATTTTCAATTTACGTAGAAAAGAAGGGGAAAAAATATTTTTTTATATAATGAAAAAATACGAAAAATGAAAAAAAGAAAAAAGAAAAAAGAAAAAAGAAAAAAATGTGTTCCACTTAAAAATTAAAAAAATAAATGCTAGATGCAAACTTAAAAATGTTAAATAATACCATAGTTTATCATAGTATATTTACAATCTGCTTTAATTTCGAATTTGTAAATGGATGGACATTTTTTGAATGAATTTAATAAATGATGTAAAGCAAATTTTAGTTAGACATGTCATTTAGTTATAATAAAGTTTGTCACCAGGGACTTATATGTTAAAACCCCTATTTTTAAACATTCTAAACTTTTGAAAATAAGCAAGGGTCCTAGCAATAACCTCCTTTTGTGTCTTTTGTTCTTGAATACGTTTCACAGGTGTATGATCAACATGATTATCATTGTCCATTCAATGTCCATTCAAGGGAGGGTTGTATAAATAGGAAAGAGACTTCATTTTGAGCTATTGCACAATAAAAAATAAATGTAAATACAAATCCCAAAATGAGAAATAAAAGGACATTGGTTTTTGCAATCGGCAAATAAATAGGTAAGCACTAGATTAGTAAAAACAATCACTCAAAATATTCAGGTGATAAATAAATATTCCAGAATAAAAAGTTATAATTGAAATATAAATCATCCGCACGAAATAAACATTTTGTGGTCTCGAACCCATATATCACTTTATCCGGTTAGTATTTCATACAATTTTATTTACAGAGGAACTCGCCGACATAATAAGCTAGTATTTCATACAATATTTTCAACACACAATAATTTTAAAATGAAAAGATTAAAAACAATAAAGTATAGGATAAATTACAATAATCCCATGAGGCATAGTCAAATTACGAAAAAATCTCTCATGTTTATCAAATCGGCAACGGAGGTGATATTCACGATAGCAAAATTACGAATGCGGGTTTAAAAAATCCACTCTCTACCTATCTTTGTCTCTCTACAATTTTATTTTTAATAGCTTTTATATTAGAAATCGTTCCAAAACCTATGTTATTGTAGCGATTTGTAAAGAAAAAATAGTGCATCAAATGAGGATCGAGATACGGAACCCAATGAGGTAAAATTTGTTCGTTTTTGTTCTATAAATCACGAAAACGCGACTCAAGACCAATTTGGACGCCGAAACATACGTTTCACGACCAAACTGGGCGCGAAAAAGCCTGATTCACGGCCAAACCGAACGCCCGGTTTGGGCGCGCAAAAGTACTTCCCGCGCCCGGTTTGGGCGCGCAACACAGCTTTCCGCGTCCGGTTTGGGCGTGGAAAAATCGAAAACCTAACATTAACAACAACCCCAAATCGTGATTTTCTGGAGATTTTCACATGATTAACCACAAATTCAATATATATAACTACTTTAGATGATTAATTACCTTTCAAATTGACGAGATTTTTGGATTTGTGACAAAGGTTGAGGATTTTTGTGAATTTTGGGGCTTTTGGGGATTTTAGGGTTTGGGTGGATTTGAGCGTTTTTAGAGAGACAAAGAGAAAACTATTATGAATGGCATTCGTAATTTTGCTACCGCGTAAATCATTTTAGAATCAACAATTCCTGAGGTATGCTCAAATTACGAAAAAATTCCTTCAATTTGGATAATTACATCCACTGTTATGGTCATCTTGCTTCAAATGTAGAGTTCAAATGAGATAAAACAGGTACAAATTGAGAATATTCCATATAATCTAAAAGATTCCACTAAATTTGAAACCGCAAGGGTAGACATGTAAGAAGATTTATAGTTGAAGAGTAGTTGTAATTACCTAAACAAGAGCAATTTTTTCGTAATTTAACAATACATCAGGTATGATTGTAATTTACCCTAAACTGTGACATGCACATTCTATTTCAGTTTTAAACAAACTGAGTTCACAGCAAGTTTACAATCACAGATTGCATGCATAAACTTATATTCTTTACACAAAGATACTATCATTTATCGAATCAAATAAAATGGCCTAAGGCGAAAAACAATTTATTGAACGAGGGAAAAAAAGAGAGAGCAAATTATAGATCTTCAGTCATTAGTCATCCTTTGAACCAAGAACCTGCTGTTTAATCTGTTCAACTCTCGCAAACAACTCATCTCTATTTTCCTGCAAATAATTATGAATAATAATCAGTTCAACTCCGAGCAGACGAAAAGAAAATGCAGTGTCAGACATTGAAGGGAATATTCTCGGAAGATGCTAACCTTAAAAATTAGATACCGAGAGCTGAACCAGATTGTGTATCCAAGACCAATAAGTTCCAAAACTTTTGGGAGCTGAATATTAATCGAAAAAAATCATCTCCGAATTAGTAAAAAAAAAAAAGGTCAATTAATTAAATATTAATTATTCGTGCGTTGAAAAATCATCACTCACCACTGGGATAGAATCAACGGCACCAACAACAGCTGCAGATAACCAAAGTGCAAGTGCAGCGCCACCACCAAACACGAGAACTGAATATGTATCTTCATAATCAAACTGAGAAAAAAAAAGGAGAATAATTTTCATGAGATTCGAACTCCGTAACAAATTATTTAAACATGCATTTTAAGTAATTTCTTTTGTAATATATTTGAAAAATTTGCAGAATTTTTTCGGATACTCTCATAGAATCCAATTAAGGAATATCCCGATTTTTAATTCACCTAATACCCTCTACCAACAAACACATTATTTTGCTCTACTTTTCCAATATAAGATATAACAAAATATCACATGACAACAGATAAAACAATACTTAAAAAAATGAAATCATACAAAAAAAAAACTTCCCAAATAAAATTTCACTCGTATCAAAAGAATAAAACATATAAGGTTGCTCAGGTAACCGCTCAGCACCAACATTATAGTCGATGTGTCATAAAGCATTCAAGAGCTTTCGAAAGAGTTAAATATACTCATCATAGCAACCGAGTTCTCACCGACAGCTGGCACCTCTTACATTAACAAATAATATATCATTTAACCTTTATTAGAGGAGCTTTCTCTGTTTTCCCTTAGCTGGTTTAAATTTCAAAAATCGAAAATTTCACATCGGAAAATCGAACATTACTTTAAGAAGGAAAAAAGAAAACCTTTATATCAAGATCCTCCAAAAACTTCAACAATTGAAGGGGATCGTCAACTAAAGAACCTTCTTGCGGCGAATCATTCAGCTGAATATCGTAATTTTGATTCGTTTCATTGGGGCGCGTGTTTTCCACATCAATCACAGAATCAGCTTCATTTAAATTAATTTTCTCATACGGAGTTGTCTCTGTAGATGTTCCATCAGATGTCGATGACCTCAAAGATAAATCGATGCTTTGTCTCAATCCTGTTTCCATAACCAAATACATTTAAATAAAAATAAAAAAATTGACTGAAAATCGGTAAGATAGAACAGGAAATTAATCGAAATTTCAATCTAATTATACATACGAAATGCATTTATCGAAAATCATATTTCTCATCTTGTTAAAAAAATCGGTGAGGGGAAATTATCAATAACGCCAAACGATTCATTACACAAAAATAAAAAAAAATAAAAAAAAATAAATAAAGATAAAAATCAGTAAATATTTCAACAATTTCCAGTAACATCCATTAAAGAAGAATCGAGAGAGCTTGAGCTGAAGCAAAATCAAACGATACTGATAATAATAACAAAATCAGAGATATTTTACAGAATAAAAAACCCTAGATCTTGCTCAATCGCAAAGAAATGACACTCAATTCTCCAAAAAAAAGGGGGAAATTGAAAATTAATTACCAGAGCTGGAGCGAAGTTGATTGAGAGCGAAAGGCGACTGGTTTCTGCAATTGAAGGATTGAAATTGAAAATTGGGAGGAAGAATCTTCGGCGGAGGGATTAAAGGAAGGTTAGAAACGCCTCGAGCAGTGCAGAGTTCCATTGTTGCGATCATGATTTATTAAAAGAGGGGTTAGGGTTCTTGGAAGTATATATAGAGACAAAAAGCTAGGGTTTAACGAATGTTGGTCGGTTTGGTTTGGGTTTTGGTTCTACACTTTCCCTTTTTTTGTGCCGAAAATGTGAGACACCAGTCGAGTTCAATTTGAAAAGGGTGTTGTTTCTTTGGATACCCCTGTAGGGGCAAATTTGTCATTTTACATTTAGTACTTTTCATTTTAGTTGTTGTTTAATATTTCATTATTTTGTACAGCTAAGCCTCTATAAATTAATGCAGTAGGGACTACCAAAATTCTATTAATTTAGCGGAATATTAAATTATCGAACTAATAATTTAGTAGGTTTTTATCAAATTGGAACCAAAAGAAACTATTATTTAAGCAAGGTTATTAATTTATCAAGTTTCTATTGTATTATGATCTACACATGCAATTTATTTTGTATACTACCATGCATTAATAAATTTAGCAATTTTCATATGCATCTAAGTAATAGTATACTAGTATTATAGGTTGGATTTGAGTCCGATATGAACCTGAAGTCTGAACAATATGTGAGTCGAATTTGGCAAATAAATATCAAACAACATGATACGTGAATGTTAGCTTTCAACAATAAAATCCGATGATATTTCAGTTTGAGTTTTTCGAATTTCGCATATTCCAATTGTCACTAGGGATAGTCGATGGATACGTGTTTATTGGGTTTCGAATTCAAAATCAACACGTTCGAGGGGACTTGGGTAGGCTAATCGGGAATGGGTCGGATCATGGGTTTAAACTCTTAGAAATTGACAGTATAGGATCGAGTAACATATCTTCTAGCGGAGTTATATTTCATAAAAAGCTAAGTTGTGATTTTATTATCAAAGTTTCAATTTCCATCTTTTTCGTTATTTTCATTTACGTATATTTTCACTATTTCACTTTCTCGAATCTCATTTCTCGTAAGCCATATCTATCACTTGTCGACTACATCTAACAATCCTACCTTTTCAACATTATTTATTATAAAAATTAAAAATAATTAATGATAGACTTGCATTATTCATTAAACATCTTGTTTGATATTATCATATTAAGTAAGTCTAGTGGGTCAGAACGTTAGATTCATTTATCGATGAGTTTCGAATAAAACGGACCGGGTTTCAAAATTAGACAAACTCATTCAAGAATCGACCCATTACCATCTATAATTACCATTGCAACGTTACACAAGACAATGATTAGAATTAGCAATCCTTCAATTTGATGACCAAAGTTCACGTGGGGTAAAACATTAATGTAACAATGTGCAATTATGATGGGATGTTCCAAAATCAATAATTAGTGGCACCTGTTTAGGTACATTTGTTAAGAAATAAAATTATTTTAATAAGTCCCAACAACTTGGTGACTACTCCATTATTACTTTAGCCCCCTTCATAAAACAAATTATAAATAAATATTGAGAAAATCTAGAGGTGTAAACGAGTCGAACTTGAGCTCGAGCTCTTCAGTTATTTGTTTTTTGACTCGGGTGCGAGTGAGCTGAGCTCGAGCCTAACCCTTTTTGTATATTTGTTTAATTTCTAATAATATTAGAATTTTATCATTATAAATTATAATAAAAGATTAAAAAAAATGCCCTGTAATTTAATTTTTTAATTACTTTTATGAATTTATTATTTATTTTATATTTATATTTAAAATAAAAAATAAATAAAAGTAAAAAAAAAAGGGGGGCTTGCGAGAGCTTAAGCTTAAGTTCGAAAAATTTGAATTTGAGTTCGAGCTTTTATCGAATCGGCTCATCGAACTCACAAGCTGGTTCAGCTCATTTACACACCCCTATGCAAAGTATGGACCTCAACTTTATATTTTATTTTTATTTTTATATTTTGAGGAGAAAAAAGACATATTATTAGACGACATCCGTCAAATTCATAGGAAGGTTGAAGCCCTTCAAATACAAGGAATTTTGGCAATAGAATGAGCTAAAGAGTTGCTGCATGAACATAAAATTACACGAGTTAAAGGTACTCGCAACAAAACAACATTCCTCAACTAGTGATCCAAACGACGAAAATTCAGCTTCTCCATTACGTAGGGCGTTGATTACTTGGATACAGTCTCCTTCCAAAATGACGTTCTCCCATCCCTTTTCCTTTGCCCAAACAATAGCCCTTAATGCAGCGAGAGTTTCTCCTTCCACTGGGCGGAGGTTTCCGTCCAGCCTTGTCACTTTCCATCCCATGCATGTACCCTCGCTGTTTCTTGCCACAACAGATGTAGTTAGAAATTTTTTACCTATTGGAAGTGCTGCATCGAAGTTCAATTTGATCACATCTAGTGGAGGGGGGATCCACTCGCTTGGGTGCAGCTGTGTAAGGTTGGCATTGGGTCGAATTTGGGCTGCCTTAAAGTTGCCAAATAATTGCAACTCCAAGTCACCAACTCGCACGATAGCAAGTACTTCTCGCCTTTCATATCTAGGTTCCTATTATCCCAAGCTTTCCATGCAACCACCAATGCTAGAATGAAAGTTTCCTTGTCAAGCAGATGCTGCAAACTTTCCACCCAATGCCGAGTCGAAGAGAAAGTGAGGTCATGGACTAGGTCGAACGGGTGACTTCTCCAAACTTCCGCCATTCCTCTGCAGTGAAGAAGCACATGTATCCTCAACTTTATATTTGAGGCATGTGTATCAAATAACTTTTTAACAATATGATACAATGGTGGCAAGTTAGATCATAAGCTAAATTAAAGGAAAACCACTTAAATGGTTTATAAAGTTATTTGTCTTGTTTATATTGTATAGTAAGTCTACTTTTAATTAAATAAACTAGAATTGTTAGTATTTATGGGGTGAAGATTGGATATATTGGGTTGTTATCATTTTTGGAAAGAAAATAGAAGTGAAAAAACTAATTCCAATTTATTTTAGATCTTGTGGAAATTGGAACTTCCAAATTCTTTTAAAAAAAATGAAATTTGGAAGTTTTATTTTTTAGTCACCTAAAATATAAAATACATAATAATATTATGGGCAAAGTTCACTTTGCACCCCTGAATTATGGGGTGTGTTGCAAACACACCCCTTAATTACGAAACGTACCAAATACACCCCGTAATTCAAGGGGTATTTCTGAAAGAATAAATCGGTATTTTTTTAAAATTATATTTGAAGATTAAACAACGTTTTCATTTTTCAACCTTAGTACAAGTACTAGATAATTGATAGTATGGATATTATGCTACAAATCAATTTGGGCCTCGGTGTTTGAATAGAACTGCTTGATATGGTGAACCAGCCCAATAATAATGCTACTATAGAGTGATCTACATTCCATATGGTCAAGCAAAAAAAATATTTTATTGTTTGAATTTATTTTTCTCAAAAAATAGACATGAAAAGATTGCCACCACCTCAAATAATAGTAAGACTGTGCAATGAACTTTAATCAAAGAAAAATTGTCATCACCTCAAACAATATAATATATATATATATATATATATATATATATATATATATATATATACTATTTGATGTTGTATCACTCACCTTGGGTAGAATAAATGAGAATGCAATCGTAGGTCACTGCACGTGAGTATGTGACTAAGGTCAAGTCACTACCATATGAGGAACTATAAACGCTTGGGTCTTGAACCTGCACGTGTAAGCACACATAAACTAAGCTGGATGGTTCTTTCAGTGGAAACCCCTCCGCGCTCAAGTCAATAGTTGCCTAGGCAACCAGATCCTACGTAACACAATAGACTTCTAGGTAACTCATGCGTAAAGAATAGAACGTATCTTATAAAGCGAGCCAGATGAGTTGTTTATAATGTGATTAGTAGAATTCTTATTAAAATAAAATTTTAAGTAGGATAAGTAAATCCTAATGAACTTATGCGTCATATCACTATTCTATTAATAAGAGAACTTGCAGCCACTCAAAGTACACTTGTACCAAAAATGTAAGATAGCTCAACTTAAATTGAGAGCAATGAGGCTTGAACTCGAGAGAAATAACACATCACTCATAACCCAATATTTTTTCTTGTTCTATAATATGAAATACAATTAACTCGAGTTACGGGATCGATGGTTAAAACTTAAAAGTTCATTTGAGTTCGATCTATAACATAATAAATTAAGTTTCTTGAACTAATTTTTCATTGGTTCAAATTGGAGCTCGATTAGAATAAATTAGCAAAACATGTATAAAAAAAAAAAATCAAATCACTCTAGCTCGAATCGTATTCGGCTCGATGGGAGCTCGATCGAGTGCAATTCCATTACGTACCAAATCAAATTCAAATACAACTTTTAAAACTCAATAAATTCAAGTAAATTTAAATTATCAAATACATTTCTTTTTATCTAATTACCAAATACATTTTGATTGGATTCATTTACAAATTACAACCCATCTCTCATTAGAAAAAAGGAAATGGTCTTATTTTCGATTTTCATTTCTGACAAGGATGGTCACTTCAATTCAAGTCTGTCAAACATTTTATCGAACATGTTCAGTTCATAAACCAAAGAGGGGTACACACCAATGGCCGGAGCACCGCCGAAACCCTTATCCCCGGCGGAATGGGAGTCACTAATCGACGAATACAATCTCGCCGGCACCGCCCGTCTCCACCGCTGGACCAACGGCGCTCCCGTACTCGACCTCTGCCTCGCCTCCCTCCTCCGTAAAGACTTCCCCCTCCAACTCAAACTCCATCTCCTCACTTTCCTCGAGCACCACTCCCTCGACGATCCATCGCCGCCGTCCTCCTCCTTATCCCGCCTCCTCGACGCCCTCCGCGCCGTCATCCAATCCCCCAACGAACCGTTCTCTCTCAAGGAACAATTCCTCGTCTCCGCCACCGCCGTTTTCATCCCATCTCTACTGGACAGCGACGATTGTTCGAATTCCGGCTCCCCGCTCGCCGGTCTGGTCGAGCTCCTGTTGACCATCATCAATCGGCCCAATCACGGCCTCGATCGCCACACCAGAGGCATCGCTTGCGAGTGTCTGCGCCAATTGGAGCTCGCTTTCCCATGTCTGCTGTCCGAAATCGTCCCCCATTTGTGGTCTCTCTGCCAAAGCGAGCGCACCCACGTTTCGCAATGGTACGTTCTGTTACTGTCGACAACGATGCTGAATGTTGTCAAATTGAAGCCCAACGACACCTCGATTGCTTCGATTAGTAATGCTACAATCCCTTTAGTACCGTTTAATTTCCCGCAGTTTTTAATCGATGGGGTCGGAGGCGATTTTGTGTGGAAGGAGAAGGAGATTTGTTATAAAGAGTTGAGAAAAGTGGTTGCTTTTATGCTCGAATGCCCGCAATTATTAACTCCGTTTGGATTGGTCGAATTTATGATTGCTATAATACCCGTAGCTGAAGAGTTGGAGCTCCAAACTTCTTTGTTGAGGGTACAGTTCTCGTGGCTTTTATACACGTTCGAGCCGTTGCTTTGTCACGCTTTCTTGGGATTGTATTTGAAGTTTTTAGATTCGTTTGGAGGGCAAGAATTCGAAGTGGCTTCTCGGTTGTTGTTACTGTCGAAGGAATCGCAGCACCATTTGGTTTTTCGGTTGTTGGGTCTCCACTGGATTTTGGGACTTTTCGGTTGGACAGTGGGTGATGACGAGGCGAAGAAGAGAAGCGTTCTTGATATGAGCTCGAGCTTTTATCCTACAATTTTCGATTCGCTGGCTATGAAGGCGTTGAAGCTCGACTTGCTTGCGTATTGCTCTAGTTTGGTTTTTAATCGTGGAGATGCAAATGGTGTTGCTGTAAAGGGTGTGGAGGGAGAAAAGGAGGCGTATGAGGTGAAGATGTTTAAAGATGGGCTTGTTTCTGTATCGGCTTTCAAATGGATGCCTTCGTACAGTACGGAAACTGCGGTGGCGTTTCGAGCATTTCATAAGTTTCTGATTGGTGGATTGCCACATTCTGATGATGCTGCTGCTTCGTCTGTTAGTGCTCTTATGGAATCGAATATCTTTCATGCATTACAGGTGTGTTATTCTTCTTGAAGCTTTGTTTCAGATTATTTATATAATTGTACCCCTTTCGATTTCTTTGGCTTATTGAGATGGGCTTAGGTAACTTAAATTTGTTGATTTTGAAGTTTTATATTTATGATCTTTAAAATTTTTGAAACTGAGGGGATGATACAATTTGCTTATTAGCATCGTCACCCAATTAAGTAATATCAGTTGATTATGACAGTTTTTCTGTTATGAAATTAACGAGTCTGGAATTGCCTTAATAAGATTTGGTTTGTCGTCAGGTAATAGAAAAACAAACTTTTTGAAGAATTTTTTTGCATGAATTCTGCAAAGATCTTAAAATATATAAACGTGGAAGTTGATAACTCGCTCTGAACTTCTACACTTTAAGTTTTTATTCACTGCTTTTTGCTGCATAAATTGTGTTAAGTTGGAGTCGAACCCATTTGATTATACCAGTTATTGGTACCTTGATTTTATCAAAGAAAGGCTTGTTCACATGATTGTATCATTGAGTTGCATAATACATACGATTTCTTTTGTTGCTTCTTGCTTGCAGTTGCCTATTTGCTTTGGTTATAAATTCTTTGTTCGTTAATGCCGTTAAACCAGTCGGGCTTTCCCTAAATAATGATTCAAAACATGAAGGGCTTGTGGCCTCGTATTGCCAAATAATGAGGCTGTTATCATAGACTTGCATATGTATAGAAAAATATTCATTAATTTGGTTAGTCTTATGATTAATCAAAATATTTTTTGCCGTCTTTCGGGATGGAGGACTGCCTTTTTTATTGGGCTTATGTGATGCTTAAGCCCAAGTTAATCAGATTAGACGTGGTAAACTTGTCCTGTACACTTCTGAAATGACCGACAAAATCATGCATTAGGCTGCTTTTGTAAGGCAGGGAAGATATTCTTTGTTTTACGTCAAGTTTTATTCATGGAAAATGTTAACTATATAAGCAGCAAACGAATTATACTATTAACTCATGTAGTTGATATAAATCGACGCACAGTTGAGCGACTTGTTGCTATGGTTGACTGAAATATAGCCATGTGTGGCTTCTGTTAGGCGATACTATTTGTTTCTTTCTTTAAAATGATATTTCTTTGTCAGGAGCTCATCAGTAAGTCAAATAATCCAAAACGAATAGTTCTCTATGCATGTCAATATAATGTATCTGATGCTCGTTTATATTTATACACGAATCTGCATATGCATACTGACGTGGCATTTTTATGAGCAGAAGATGATGGTGGACTCTACCTCAGAATTCAAGGGACTAGTTCCGATAATAGTCTCATCCATCGACCGTTTATTGAATTGCCAAACGCACCGCTGGCTGGGCGAGCACCTTCTAGAAACCCTCGACAAACGTCTACTTCCAAAACTTAAAAAGGACTACAGCCTCGGATCGTACTTCCCCATATTCGAAAGAATTTCCGAAAACGCCAAAGTATCGCCGGGTGGACTGTTGGAACTCCTCATGAGTTTCATGGTTTTTCTCGTCGAGAAACATGGTCCTGACACAGGGTTGAAATCGTGGCGACATGGCAGTAAAATTCTCCACATTTGTAGAACGATGCTAATCCACCACCACAGCTCTAGCTTATTTACTGGATTGTCTCATCTTTTGGCGTCTACTTGTCTTTATTTTCCTGATTTGGAGGTTCGTGACACTGCGAGGTACGCCTTTCGATTTTATAATTTCTCTTTATATAATGAAGAACTTTTCGAATATGATGAAGGTGGTTCGATTTTTACTTCTTGGAGAAAATGTCGAACCAGTAGGGGTGGAAATCGGACGAATCAGAATTGGCACTTTCGGAAGTTAAAAACTAATTCCAATTCTGTTAAAGAAAAATCGGAAAAATCGGAATGAAATTATTGTTCCAAAGTCCGCGGAAATCGGAATTTCCGTTCCAATTTCCACCCCTACGAACGAGTTATTTTTGCCTGAAAATAGCAACACAATGAATATTTTTCTCACTGAAGGTGTTTTTATTGCAGATTTCACTTGCGAATGCTTACGTGTATACCAGGAAAGAAACTCAAACAGATACTGAAAACCGGGGGAAGTTTACCCGGAATATCTCCATCTACTCATTCCGCCTCATTCTTTAATAATAATACACAGTCTCCTCACTCGTTATCCAACCTTAAAAAATCCAGCACTATCTCTTCTTACATGCACATCCAACGTGTCACACCGTCATTGGTCAAGCAATCGTGGTCCCTCTCCTTGCCAAATTTCAGCACCAGTTCCGATAAACCTAGTTTCTTTCAAGGCATAGCCGATCCTGAACCGATAATCGAGGAAAAAGACTCTGAAATAACCATTCATCGGCAAAAAGAGCCTCTACGTGTAATGGATGCAAAAATCTCCGAAATTGTCGGCCAACTGAGGAGGCATTTTTCGTGTATTCCCGATTATAGACACATGCAAGGACTCAAGATTAAAATCGAATGTAGTTTGAGATTCGAATGTGATCCTTTATTATCCGACGACGGAGTGGAGAAATTACCTGCCCTTTACGCAACGATTCTCAAATTCACTTCCTCTGCACAATACGGAACAATTTCCTCTTTTCATATTCCTTTTCTTTTAGGAACACCTCCGAAAAAAGGCGAGCGTTCGAGTCAAACCGACGATTCTTCATTATTAGCTATTGTTCCGATCGATGAGAATAAGAATAATGGTCATTATTCAAAAGAAGAGAATTTCGAAGCTCGTGTATGTATAGAATTGGAACCGCGCGAACCAATGCCTGGTCTGGTAGATATTTTCGTCGAAGCTAATTCGGACAATGGTCAGATAATTAAGGGACAGCTTCATGGTATATCTGTCGGAATAGAGGATATGTTTCTTAGAGCTATTTTACCTGATGACGTGGAGGCTGCTGATGTGGCGAGTTATTATGCTGACCTGTTCGATGCTTTATGGGAAGCGTGCGAGTCGTCGTCAAGTACAGGTAGAGAAACGTTCGTCTTGAAAGGAGGCAGAGGGGCGGCTGCTATAAGCGGGACCCGGTCCGTGAAGCTTCTAGAAGTTTCCGCTGCGGATCTGGTTCGAGGCGTGGAGCGCCACCTGGCGCCTTTCGTTGTTTGTGTTATTGGGGATCAGCTTGTTGATATGGTGAAAGGTGGGGGTGTGGTGAAGGATGTGTTGTGGAGGGAATATTTTAATTCGGATTCCGAGTTTGATGCGACACGTCCGCCAGCTGGCGCTGTGGGGGCCCCGCTTTACCTCAAGTACTTGGGGGATGAGGACGAGGGTGGGTCCCACATTCCGGCGAGTAGGAAAAATATCGGCTATTTTCAGGTTTTGATATTTCTACCTCCGAGATTCCATCTGCTTTTCCGAATGGAGATTCGCGAGTTTTCGACTCTGGTTCGGATTAGAACCGATCATTGGCCTTGCTTGGCTTACGTCGATGACTATTTGGAAGCTTTATTTTTGGACTGAATTAATATTGTTTTTTTTTTTGTTCTTTATTTTGCTTTCAAATTCTTTTATTCTTGTTTACCTCAGAAGAATAATTGCTTCCTTTATAATTGGTTGAAGTATGGAATATGTGTAACTGTATAAGTATTACCACTTCATCTTTCTGTGTAATTTTAATTTACATGCTTGTTTAAAATTGTTTTTTTTTTCCCATGGGTTTTTTTTCATTTTACTTGAGTGTATTGAATAATTTGTATAAGAATTGTGAACTAAATTGTCATAAATTACAGATGGTGAGGTTTGAGATGCCAAGTCAACGAACATAAGTCAACGGTAGTTCGAATATTTAATTATTTATATAGAAAAATATGTAGTGGGAGTGTACGGATATGTTGAACAACCGAGACAGCTCGATGATAGGGAGATATAATTATCTTCATACTTTTGAAAAAAAATATTTTCTTATTAGAGGTAAATTACGGCCATCTTCTGAGGTACGGTGAAATTATGAAAATTCCTCACATATAATTACGACTCCCCTTAACTATGAATCTTCTTACACGTCCACTCTAGCGATGTCAAATTTAATAGAATCTTCTAGATTATATGGAATATTCCATTCTATTCCATTCGAGCTCCACATTTTGAAGCAAGATGATCAATATGTGTTTTTTGACTTGTATATATTAGATTGTGGTGCATCATAAATTGCATTTTTGCACAAAATTAACGAGTACAAACTATAGTACATTTCACGGAATCTAGAAAATTATGTCGAATTTGACACCATAAGGGTAAACGTGTAAGAAGATTCATAGTTGAGGTAGTTCTAATTACCTAAACACGAGGGTTTTTTTTCGTAATTTGAACGTATCTCATGGGTGGCTGTAATTTACCCTTTTTTCTTATTGGTAGTAAATTTCATTGACAAAACTTTTAACATAATGTTTTGTTCCTTTATAAAATACATACATTATATATAATATATATATATATATACACACATACATATTATATATTGAAAATTATAATTTTAGTTGTCACCCACACTGCAATCCACATGGTGAAGAGATGTATGAAGCAACTTTGTTGTCCACTTGTCATCAGATTCAGTTACAAGACACCTCACTCGCAGCTTCAATGTCTCTCCTTCCATCTCAACTATCAAATTTTCTACTCCACTATTATAATCATAATTATATAATTGGTTGAAAATAGATATTCTATGTATAATGTAATATTCAAAATACAATAAAATAAATCCTACCTTTCAATATAAAATTTGCTAAACAACAAATAACAATATAGTATTCGATTAATGATTTAAAAAAAGATCCTCAAAGAACATAGATTATAAATAATGAACAGTGTACGTTGTAGCATTTTCCACCAATCTCTAAATCCTATTTTTATCACTTAATTTAAATATTGGGTAAATGACGGGAATTTCTTGAGGTATGACCAAATAACTTATACATTCATGTGGTATCGATAATTACAAATTGTTAAATACTCTCTCAACTGTTCTATGATAGTTACACCTTATAATGAATCTATGACTAATGGAATTTTGAAGATTCCATAGAATATTCGATATGAATTTTCAAATTTACCCCAATGAGGGTAGATGTAATAATACCCATACGAAATAAATGTAACATTTTGTCTTACTTTAGAACTGTAACCTAATTTACTCATAGTTTATTTTTTTAATAAAACGGTAATTTAGATGATTCATTCATTCTGTTAGAGTTTATAATGCACTGTCAGGTTTATGCGGTGTTTGCAAATTATTTAAACTTAACTGAAAGGGATGTCATAAATTTACCGTTAAATATTTTAGCTAGCCCCTGATCAATTCTCAAGCCCTCATTATACTTAAATATTGGAAATTTCATTCTAGCCCGAGCCTCGATGATGGTCAAACCTTATATCTCTGTATACTCAAATCCTATTTTTACACTAATTTTTTAGGTGAAAGAATTTTCATCTTCTAATCTTTCACAGTTTTATTATATATCTTTTTCCCATCAAATTCTACTTTTTCTATTAAATATAGAGGTGGAAATATAATTTCATGTAATTAACAATATTTTATTAATGTGCACATAAAATAATTGCAAAAATTGGATAATAAAATTTTTTGAGAGTAAAATTAGAAAAATATATAGAAAAGATTTTTGGTGGTTGGTGAATTTTTTTATATATTTTAAAGAGAGAAATTAAGAAATTTTATTTTTTATATTTTAAAATATATTTTTTTATATATTAATAAATGAAAGTAGGCCCCAAAATTGTTTGCAATAAGAGTAGCCCAAACAAATAGCGCGGAAATTGACGTTGAGCCGTTGAAGTGGTCCTTGTGGAATCTCACTCGACCCCACCTCAGCTGATACTTATCTCAAACTATTTGCCGACTACTCGCGTGACTATGAAATTAGTATGTACTCGCCTCCACGTTAATATTTCTTTTATTCTTTTGTTTCTAAATGAAAAGTTATTAAATATTGTTTTTATACTCCTTCCATATATTTCTTTAAATTAAAACAACAAATATTTGCTACCGACCTCAGTAAATAAAATGCGTTAGGACCTATATAGCCCGAAACGGCGAGACTTTAGTTTCTTATAGTATCCGTGTTCCGAACACATTTCGCGTCCGATACTCACGAACACCTGTCGGACACTTTATGAACCATTTTGAAATTTCTGAAAAGTTAGAAATATGTTTGAAAAATTTCTAAATATTTTTATTGCTCTATTAATTATTTACATAATTTATTGATCAATTGAAAATTCATGGTTTGATAATAATATTTATTTTGAACATATTTTTATGAGAATATATATAAATAAAAACTTATTTATGTTTGTATAGCATATTTATAAATATACCGTTATAATTCTAAAATTCACACTATTTCCCCAAGTTCTCGTATCGCTATTTTTGGGACATGCCATTTCCCGTACTCAATTCCCCATTTTCACACGTATGGCCGTTTTCGTGTCCGTGCTGCATTAGGTGAAGAATGAGTTTTTTTTTTTTTTTTTTTTTTTTTTTCTTTCTTCTATTTGCTAAAATATGGAATCTATAAGTTGACTTAATTTTGATAATCGTGATAATCATTATAATCAAAATCATGCAATAAATTAATAATAATTCGTTAATAGTTGTGTATTTGTATGCAAACAAAATTATTTTACTCCCCCATCCCTTTCCAACATTTAGGAAAATATTAATTTTAATTTTTTAAGGCTTCTTAGAAAATACAATAATATATATATATATATATATATATATATATATATATATATAAATAAATGAAAGAAATCCAAGTCATTAACAGCCACTAATTCCTAATTCCACGCGCCGTCAAGAAAAAGAAAAAAGAAAAAAGAAAAAAAAAAAATCTCCACTGGAAAAAAGTCCAACCCTACTCTCTCTCTCTCTCAGATAAAAGCTCACACACACACCTCGTGTATTATATATGCTCCAATTTCAATCTCTTTCCTCGCTGTTTCCCTCACAAACAAATTTCCCCAATTATTTTTCAAAAAAAAAACCCCAATCTCCACTTTCTCTCTCTAGAAACAGCTTTTTCCGATGGCGATTTCCTTCAGCCGCGAGCAGTACCTCTACATGGCGAAGCTAGCCGAGCAAGCCGAGCGCTACGAGGAGATGGTCCAGTTCATGGACAGCCTCGTCGCCGGCTCCGGCGGCGCCGAGCTCTCCGTCGAGGAGCGGAACCTCCTCTCCGTCGCTTACAAAAATGTCATCGGCTCGCTCCGAGCCGCGTGGCGCATCGTCTCCTCCATCGAGCAGAAGGAGGAAGGGCGGAAGAACGACGACCACGTGCCGCTCGTGAAGAACTACAGATCTAAGGTCGAGACCGAGCTTACGCAGGTCTGCGCCGGAATTCTCAAACTCCTCGAGGACTATCTGATCCCGTCGGCGGCTTCGAGCGAGTCGAAGGTCTTCTACTTGAAGATGAAGGGCGATTATCACAGGTATTTGGCCGAGTTCAAGGTTGGGGCTGAGGGCAAGGAGGCTGCCGAAAACACTATGCTCGCTTACAAAGCTGCTCAGGTATATATATTACATATACATATGCGTACAATTGTTTGAAGTAATTTGCTGATATAATTGTTTAGGGTAAATTGGGGATTGGTGTTGATTTTGCTTGAATCGGTGACTTTTTTTGTCGATTTGTATACTGTCTGCTGTTGTTGAAGAAATCGGTAATTATTATTGTTGTTTCAATGAAATGAATAGTACAAAAACTAGATTCGAAGCAGTAGATTCGATCGTATAAGACTACCTGGAAATGGTGTTTTATGAAAATTGGGGTATAGTTGTTTTTTTTTCTCTTAAAATGGTGAGGTTTTCTATGTCGTTTTGAATACTTTCTGCTGTTGTAGGAACTCACGGTATTGTTTGAATTGGAAATTATAATTTTGTTTCAACGTAATGAAATAGAAGACTGGATTCGAAGCAGTGGCATATACATTTGTATGTGACAACTATACATTTGAAATGACGTGTTACGAATCGTATATGTCAATTTAGATTTTCCAGTATGTGGTGTGTATTATTGAATACTCTGAAATTACTCTTTAGTCGCAAGGGAACAGTTGATGCTGCGAATATGCGTCGATTTTAGTTTAAGAGCATAAGATGCAGAGTTCGTAGATTAGAATCGCGAGTTTTCTTTGTCGATTTGTATACTTTCTACTGTCGTAGCAACTCATCATCTTGTTTAAAATTGGAAATTGTTATTTTGTTTCAATGAAATGAAACAGTGTAAACTAGACTCAAAACACCAGCGTAATACATTTGTTGGACTGGATCCAATCGTATTAGACTACGTGTAAATCACGTTTTATGAATCGAAGATGTCGATCTAGATATTACAGAGTGTGGTGTGTATTATTGAACACTCGGAAATATTCTTATAGTTGGGAGGATCTTTTGATTCTGTAAATACGTGGCGATTTCAGATTAAGAGATTACGATGCAAAGCTTTTAGTTTATAATTGTGAATTGATTACTTGTATTTACTAAGAATTGAAGGCCATGTGATCCTCTCTAAATTTGTGACTAATAAATTAGACACTCGAGTTTACATTGTTTCTATATATATGTATCTGTATATATGTAATGTATATTATGTGTATTTGTTCTCTATTACCTGACCATTTATTTTATGGCGTGATTAATGATAAATAGGATGTTGCACTTGCTGATCTTGCACCCACACATCCTATACGTTTGGGCTTGGCGCTGAACTTCTCGGTTTTCTACTATGAAATTCTCAATGCATCTGAGAAAGCTTGCAGCATGGCCAAACAGGTCAGTTAAACATCATCCTGTAATAATTATTTGCACTCACTCTACAATGCCTCGATTTTTTCCCTGAACTTAACTTTGTAAATTTTAACTAATGACACTTTCCCATGATCATTTGTCGTTCGTGTGAACCTAGCGGTGATACGAAACTCATTTCTGTTTCATTTGCAACATGTTTTAAGGAAAAATAAAACAGATAATAGTTGTACCATGATGTTTTTGTCCGACATAAATCTAAACAGCAACCGAGAATTATTGGCAGTAATTTGAAAATATTTTTAATGTTTATGAGCAGGCTTTTGAAGAAGCGATTGCTGAGCTGGACACCTTGGGTGAAGAGTCGTACAAGGATAGCACTCTCATCATGCAGCTTCTGAGGGACAATCTCACTCTTTGGACCTCAGACATGCAGGTACGAAACAGTACATGGTAGTTTTTCTGCGAAAATAATAAGAGACACCTGTCACTTTTTCATAGGTGAACATAGACTAATGTAGATACATAAATATGACGGGCATTAGAGGTTGATATATAGTTAGAACTATCTTAAGTTCATATCTTCAAATTGAGAATTTTCATACTTCCACGCAAAATATGTCTGCTCGATAAATGATAGGGTAAATCTTTTTTCATAGCTTTGTTCCTAGACCCCAGTCGAATCTTATGCTTTCATCAGAAATGTTGGGTTAAGAATCCATCTTAAATTTTGTGTAGATTCTATAATAGTTAACATGCCTTTTTAACCATGTAGCACCACATTAAATGCTCGACATTGGTAAAGTATTTCAAATTGCAGAATGTGATAAGAAGATATTTTATTTCGTATGTTGTTGAATCGTCGCTTGTCACTGAATTTAATGCAAGATGTTCCTTTGATTTTGTAAATTAACGGAAGTATTATGAGTGTTTTTGTTTCAATAAATGAGAATATATCTTCAAAATAATGGTTTCGCTCCGTCTTATCAGTGGAACAAATTACTTTTTTTTACCCTTTTCACAATACTCTTAGGCATTGTTCCGATTTTTCTTCCTCGCAAGCTGCAATATGCTTTATGAATCAGATTTCAACCAAATTGTTCTTTTGTTTTTCTCTGTATACATTGAAATACGTGTAAGTTTGTGAAATAGGATTTGGTATATAAGTCATAATCTATGCTAGTCGGTATTTGGTTCACGATCAAGGCGTTATGAAAATTTTTGTCTGATTTAATTTTGCTGCTTTGCTTTTGTTGCATGCACTACAATTGTGCTGAAACATTTTCTAATGCTGATTACAAAATTTTAATTTATTGATACTATGTTTCCATGTGGTGGTGATTTGAATATAAACTAAAATAATATACGTATTCGTTTACAGCCTATGCAAACATTAATCTGAGTCCTCTCTTTTAAGTAATCTATTCATCTTACTATATACAAGCCTCTTGCATACATTAGTCACAATTACTGCATACCATTTACAAAGATATATCTGTGTTTGATTTTTTATATATCGAGAAATTTATGTTTGTATCTTTTGGGATTTACGCAGGACCAAATTGACGATGCTTGAACGCGTGTCTTTGTCGTACTCCTCAAGGAGGTGGGCTGAATGTCATGAATTCTCTGTAATTTTCATATACACAACTGGCAAAAACGTCTTTTGTATTTTCCGTATTCTGTTATTGTGACTTGATTCATCTAAACTCCTCACCGAAGCTCGTTAAAATGCTCAAATATGCTTTTTTCTCTGTTAATTCGTAGAATGTAAAAAAAAAAGAAGGAAAAAAGAAATGATCGACTCCAGAAAATGTCCCTTCACATCGAAGCAAAATATGTTGTTAGCTGATCATGCCTTTTCTTCATTATCTATCCTTTGTTTGAGCATGTACAATTTTGTCTCGCGGTTGGTTTCAACGATACTCGATTCGATTCGTGCTCTCGTTCCCCTTGTTTTAACATTTTTTAGTCCGTATTTTAAGACTAGGGTTAGACCTTTGATCCGGTCCATTCTATACTCTGTGAATTTTATCGAGTTATATTCTACTATGCGCGTGCATATATCTATACATAACTTACACAGATCTATACGTCTATGTGTGTGTGATTGTGTGTAATCAAAGGTTGAAAATTATCAACTGCATTTGTGCATTTGAAAACAGTGATACGATATATAAAATAGAATGCTAGTGATATTATATTAAGAGAATATAATGTTCTAATTTTGTGTGAAGGGATAAAATTATGTATTGTACTCTTTAAATTTCTTTATTCTAACAATTAATTTATATCTAATTTAAAATTTATTTTGTATTTACTCTTTTTTTGTTTAAGGGAAAAAATAGAAAATTTTATTAGTGTTGTAAAAAAGACACTATACTATATAGTAAATCACTTTTTTTTTTATAGAACTATATAGTAAATCACTGTTATTGAAAAAAAATATAGTCTATGTATGTAGAATATGAAAAGTGAATTTAGCACCATTACGAAATGGTTGCTTCTCCAAACATTCATAACATGTGTCGCCGAGCCACATCGTCGACAAATTGGACTGTTTCTGATTTTTCTACGGAACAATTATTTTTCGGATACCTGCAGTTGTTCCCGGACGTAAAAGGTCATTGTAGATTTTAGCAGCATTTAGAATCTGACCCGAAATTCTTTCATAAAATTCCAGCACACCCTTCAAGAATATTGCTTCTTCTTCTTTTGTAACGTGTCGTATGCAAACCCCCTTTAAGCTGCTCCTACTCGTCTCGTGATCAAGCATCGACACAAGAAGATCTGCACACAAGCCACACCTAATACATTTAACAAGGAAATAACAAGTAAATGTAGAAACACAACTCATGATAAGATCAATGACATAAATATGAAAATCAAATTGTAATAGAACTTGTCGAAGAGACCCCCATTCGATTCGATCATATGCTTTACTAAAGCTTAACATACATACAATTGTTTTGTTTTTTCCTTTCCAAAGTTCGAATATAGTGATTAACTTCAAAGGCAACACGAATATTATCATTAATAAGGCGATTAGGGACAAATGCCGATTGGGCAGGAGAAATAATGCCATTTAAAATGTGTTTGATACGATTAGTTATCAGCCAATCTCATAATCCTATTTTTCTTTTAAGTGCGGCACAACATTGGCTTCAGTCCAAACCCAGATCCAAAGCCCAACTTGAGTGATCTTGACCACTAATTCTTACTTGATTGATCTTGACCGTTCATGTGGTCATTTAAAAAGATTTTCGGCGACAACTTTACAGTCCTTACCGACAATGGGTGACTTTGGAAGCACATTTAATGCTACAGACCGTTGCCTTTGTGGAGTTTCATACCGCTGTTAGAGAGAGAGAGAGACAAGGTAACACATTCCTCTCAAAGTCAATCCATCTTCTGACTTCAATCTTCCTTTTATGAGTAGATTGAATATTTCTGAGTGAAACAATAGCTTTTTTGAGTAATTGAGAGTGTTTCTTGTTGCCTGGTTGATTGTGCATGCGTTGGTGAGTCATCTTAGTGGCGAGTGGGGGCGTTTCTGAGTTTGGGTGAATGTTTTGTTCCCGAAACCTGTTGGTGCTACTTCCATTTAGATATTCTGAACAAATGACTGGACCGTGTGACGGAACTGAACCAATGAATATAAATTACAGCTCCATGTGTTGGAGTTATTTATGTTTGTATCTCTCATCTTTTTTGTACTCATTCTTTCATTTGTATTTCTATTGGTAAAATATTTATTGCAAAGTGAGTACACAATAAGTGGTACCGGAGCTTTAGTTGGGTGTACTCATTTTGAATAACAGGTGTTAGTACTCTCTTACGTTTCTCTCTATATTATATATGATTATTTATTTTTTTCTAATTAATTTTTTTAAAAGAATGTTGTATATGATTATTTTGCTTCATTATTGAATAAATCTATTAAACTTTTCAAGCAACTTAAGAGTACAATAGCACCAGTAGAAAAGTTGTATTGACTCGATTGATTCTTTTCTTTTACCATTTCTGTATTTTGGAATGATGAGTCTTTGCCCATAAAGATACAAAGATTAAAGGATATAAAACGAAATTAAAATATGACAAATAATTAATTTATTTTACATATATATATATATATATATATATATATATATAACAAGCTGAAAGTTTTTTTTTTTTTTTTTTTTTCCTATTTTATCCACTATATTTCTTGATCCAATTTTATTTTTATTTATTAAGTATTATGTCACGAACACAAAATTGAGCTGCAAGAAAGTTGATTCATGAACTTTGTATGAAACACGTGATATTTGAGGCTTCTTGTTAATATTTTCTTTTGTGTATTTAGGTTGGAAATAGGGGTGCAGACGAATCGCATCAATTTTTTATCGATATTTAATTTATTTATTTTGATTAATACACACTCGAGATCGAGTAGTTTGATTTTTATTTTATTTTTATTATATTTTAATCGATTCGAGCTCGAAAATTTCATATTTTATGCAACGAAAAAGTGTGCGACACAAGATACATTAACAAGTTGAGTGTCCGTACAACATAGGTATATCATTATTGACCCGTTGAATGATTATATTCACATGAGGAAGACAATGTAATTCCGTAATTTTTCGTAACGTGATTCATAGAGTAGTTCTTATAATTTATTATTTGATTCGTCGATTCGTTCTGCAATTGATATAAATATTGCTATGATCCATCAATTTGCAATCGATTTCAAATCATGTAAAGAATTAAGGGACTAACAAAATTATTTGTAGATTTTCTAAACAATAATTACAATAGTGGCCCAACAAGCGTCCTATGGGCGTTCGGATCCGACACGGGATACGTTAATAAGTTGAAATGTCCGTCATGAATTTAAAATTATTTGATAAATAACTACACATTCAGCACACATCCACATGTGTGTGTGTATTATTATGTATACATCAATGGTACATAATCACTCAATAATATTTCGTCGAGTGTAGCATCTACAAAACTGACCATTCACGTAATTTGTTAATCTTTTCAACACTAAAAATGCAGGACAAGCAAAAATAGGGTGATTAGATTTAAATCTCGTATAGTTGCATCATATTTTTCTCATTTAATTCTTTGTATTTTATATGGAAAGGTGACAACAATTCCAAATGTAAAACAAGTTGTGCAACAATAATTTCGTGTTAAGTTGTGTATATCCAAACATAATTTCACAAAATTCTTCCCAGTCAAAATTATATAATTTTGGAGGACTTTTTTTTATTAATTTATTTATTTATTATTATTAATTTTGATTTTTTGCTCCACTGAAAATATGGGATGAAAACGTTACAAATGTGATTTTATAAGTAAGATGCAGACAAATAAGGTTATATAACTTTAGAGAATATAGGAATCTTTTCTTTCATCGTAGTCATCGATTTAGTGACGTATAGCGTGAATCTTGTTCGCAATTCTTTACTATAATATATTGTTTTTATTTGAATTAAAATATTATTATTTTTTATTTTATATAATTCTTACCTAAGTAACACAAATTTTAAAACATTGAAAACATGAAGGAGAAGAAAAAAAAAGTATGGAACTAAAGGAGTGTAATATTTAAATTGGGTCCAATTTAATATAATGTTAGTTTAAATGTTTGTCGAGATTTCAAAGTTGTGTTTGATTGAGATGGTCAGATAAGCGATCGAGCCGAACATAACCTAGGACAAAATAACACTAATTAGTATATGTGGAAAAGTGCAAAATAAAAATAAAAATAAAAGAAAATTAGATGGAGATATTGGGAAATTGAAATTATATATAGTTATAGCGGAAAAATATGTTCAATTTATCGATGGTTTGACATCGATTCAAAATAGAGGATTAAGAATTTGTTTGAGCTGATTAGTAAAGTGAAACGAACAAAGTATAAAACTATTTACAAATTCGCTAAATTAGAGAAAATAAAATAAAAATACGTATACTAATGAAGCTATTCGAGCTTTGCTTACCTAAAAAAATTCAAATAAGATTGAACGGTAATGTTTGCATTTCCAACTCGAACTCGGCACATTTACATCATATTCAAGCTTCACTTACCTAAAAACTTACCAAAAAAAAATCAAATAAGATTAAACGGTAATATTTGTGATTTCAGCTCGAACTCGTCGTATTAACGTACATAGCTGTAATGAATTTATTCCGAAATAAATAGTAACTATGTTAAATATACCTCATTTTAGAAGGTGTTAATTGAAGGAAATAGTGTGGTAAAAATTGAAAATGTGATTAAAATTTTCAATATCAAAAATAAAATGCAATCTTGTTCAATTATATTGGATTCATTATTACATCATCACTTACTCCAACTCCCTTGCTAACACCTCAATTATTTTTTTATTTGTTTTACATTACACTCCGTTGAACCGAACTGAACTTCACCGAGCTATATCATACCATACACGTATATAAATTTATACATATTTCATACACATTAATATGTAACTGCATGTAAATCAAATATGAAAACAAAAACCGATCTGGTCCGTTTCACGATACATAATATCTAAAAATACCATTATTTTCCCATGAAAAATGTACCCAAAAGAGAATTAACAATTCTTTTCCATCAAATCTCACACATTTGACTACAAAATCCAAATTACAAAGTGCATTTTCAACATATTTCTCTTGTACAATCAAAATTCTATACCCTCAATATTGTTCACTTAGTTATTTCATTAATATTTATGTAGAGGTTTTTGATTTTTTGCATTACATTTATAATCTCTTTCCCTTTGACCCTACATTTGTCTTTAAGACAAAATGCTCACATTTCCTACATAAAGCTCCCCCCCTCCCTCCCCACTGTCCCATCCAACAACTCTCTCTCTCTCTCTCTCTAGACTCTCTCTCTCTCTCTCTCTCAAGAATCTGACTCACACTCTCTTTTATCACTCTGGGCATTGCAGAAATGGCAGAAACATAGTGCCAATAAATAAATCTTTAGCATTAAATTTTTTTTTTAAATAAAAATCCATTCTTTATGAGATTTTGATAAAAACTTCAATTGACAAAAAAAAAAAAATGGGTGATGATTGCAGCAGCTTTGACTGCGCAGAAACAACAACTGACCTTCTCTGTAATGAAGAAACAAAAGGGTTCTGCTTCTTCGACGAAGACGAGGGTAATTCAGATGTTCTTGTTGAAAAAGGTGTGATCTTTAACAATGGCGGCGGATCACCGTCGGATTCGAAAACGGCGTCGTTTCGTCTGCCTTTGTTGGGTGAAGAGTGCATCCGTTGGATGGTGGAGAGAGAGAGGGAGCACTTGCCCAGAGATGATTACGTCAGCAGATTCAGGTGTGGACAGCTGGATTTCAGTTTGAGAAGACAGGCCCTTGATTGGATGTTTAAGGTTTATAATTTTTTTTTTTTTTTATGAATTCTTGATTTTTTATTCAAAAGGGTTCTTGGATTTGGTATTAAAAATGTAATCTTTATTTATTTTTTAATTTTCTCTAATCATTTAATTAATTATTCAAGAAATGTTTTTTTTTTCATTAAAGTTTATTTTTTTATGAATTCTTGATTTTTTTTTCTAAAATGGGGTTTTATTCAAAAGGGTTCTTGGATTTGGTATTAAAAATGTAATCTTTATTTATTTTTATTTATTTTATAATTTTCTCTAATAATTTAATTGATAATTCAAGAAATGTTTTTTTTTTAATTAAAGTTTATTTTTTTTATGAATCCTTGAATTTTTTTTTTCTCTTGATTTTCTTTTTTCTAAAATGGGGTTTTATTCAAAAGGGTTCTTGGATTTGGTAATAAAAAATTAATCTTTTTCTTTTCTAATCAGTTAACTAATAATTCAAGAATTATTTATTTATTTATTATTATTTTTTATTGCAGGCTTGTGGTCACTACAATTTTGGAGAAATGTGTCTATACTCAGCAATGAATTACCTTGATCGATTCCTATCTGTGTATGAATTGCCTGTATGCTCATTGAAAAGGGTAAAATAGTAAATAAATTAAAAAAAAGGTGTTCTTGATTCAATACTTTTGAATGGAATTTTGTTATGTTGTGTTTGAATGCTGGTTTTATTTATTTCTTGATTAGGGAAATGAAATATGGGCAATTCAATTGGTGGCCGTCGCTTGTTTATCAATCGCAGCCAAAATCGAAGAGGTTAACGTTCCGTCTACGGTGGATTTGCAGGTAATAAAAACATAGGACTTACGATGTTTCGTTCGAATTTCACGTGTTTTTTTTTTTTTATTTGTTCAATTCGATTAAGTAATGTGGTGTAATAATAACGGAACAGGTGGGTCGACCCAAGTTCTTGTTCGAAGGAAAAACGATCCAAAGAATGGAGATGTTGGTGCTGAGTCGACTCAGTTGGAAGATCAAAGCGTACACACCGTTCAATTTCATAGACTATTACCTCACAAAGATGAATAACGGCGAATTCCCGTCAAGGGATTCGATCGATAGATCACTCCGAATCATATTAAGCACAATCGAAGGTCGATCTCGTTTACTCGAAACATAATAAAAATAAATAAATAAATAAATATTTAATAAATATGAAATAAAAATGAATGCAGGTATTGAATTCTTGGAATTCAGGCCATCTGAAATAGCTGCAGCTGTGGCTGTACATGTTGTTTCAGGGGAAACACAACAAGAAATTGGCATTCTTGATAGTTTTGTAGGAATTGACAAGGTAGTTTTATTTTTATTTTTATTACAATGTTGGTTATTTTATTTTATTATTAGATTTTTTTTTTTAATTTTTAATTTGTTTTCCTTTGTTGCAGGGAAGAGTGGTGAAGTGCTATGAATTGATAAAAGAAATGGGATCAAAAAATATTACTACTAGTAATTATTTGAATTCAAGAATAGAGCCAGATAGCCCAAATGGAGTGTTGGAAGCAGGGGTGTGTTTGAGCTGTAATAATAAAAGTGATGAAATTAGAACAGTTGAGTCATGTCCAACTTCTTCTTCTTCACACACAACTCCAAACAATAAAAGGAGGAAAATTAGTGATTCTTGAAATTAAAATAAATAATAATAATAATAATAAAAAAATATATTTTATGTGTGGATTATATTTTTCTTTGAAATTTAAAAAAAAAAATTAAAAGAAATACTATAAGATGAAATGGAGTCTCAAGTAGTTTTTGTTTAATTTTTTTTTTATTTAGTTTTGGGCCACAATATGTATTTTTTCCCTTTTATATAATAAAAAATATTTTTTTTGTACTAAGTAACTAATGCTAGAGTTTGTTTTGTTTTATGCTACACCGGATGAATTAAATCGAAATACATTGTTATTATTTATCTATATATAAAGTGTATACGTTTATATTAGTACGTAGATACATCACTAAAGCACATTTTACCAGGCATAACACTAGTTTAACCGTCGATTTCTTTGTTTGAATTCATTACATGATATAATAAGCACGCGCTAGGCGCTACCATAGATATCTATCATAATATATATATACTATTAAGAGGAGATTCGACTAAGCTTATAAAAATCTCAAAGCATCTTATGAGATGTTTACGAGCTGATAAACTTGTAAAACTATTTTTTTAACATTTAAAAAAAAAAAAATTGTATGCCATAGATATTCTCATAACTTAAAATATATATAATAATTTTAAAATAAAATACAATTTATTTAAATTTTACATGTACACTAAAAAGAAGAAAAAGGGGAAGTTGATAAGTGCAATTCATCATGTGAAGGCAATTTCTACATCCAATTTCCCAATTAGGGCATTAAAGACTAGATGGCTATGTGCGTGATGCGATGTCGTTTTGGTAATGATTACATGTCGTGCTGTTTTTTGGGATCTGAAAATTGGGCAAGTGGGCCTGATTCCCCCAAGTCTACAGTCTACACCCCTTTTTGTTTTGACTGTTTTTTGTGTATGACCAGTCAACTTCCTTTTTTTTTATTATTTATTACTTTATTTTGTTTTATTATTTAATTCTGAAACTACTATATAAAGAATGAATTTTCTGTGGAATAAGAAACCTTGGGAATGCAATTTTGTATACTACTTAAATTAATCAATAAATCAACATTTTGAATTAATAAATAAAGTGAAGTGTTGGATTTTGGGTGGTGATGATTTTATGGAAATTTTAATTTTGAAAATTCTAATTTTGATTCTATTTAAAAAGGTAATAAAATCGTAGATCAAAAATTTCATTTTTTTTGTTCATATATAATATAAAATAATAATGATATTTTTATTATAAGTGTAAGTTTGAAAATTAGAATCTAAGTCGAAAATCAGAATCTATTTTTTTTTTAATTTTATTGAAAAAATGGCAAAATTTGAAACCGAATTTTTTAAAATAAAAAAATAATTTTTTTTCCCAACATTAGACTTATATTTCTACATTGTCAATTCTGTGTTATTTTTCAATCTTGCTATGAAGTCATCAGCTTCAGAATTTTGTAGTCATAAACATTAATACTTGTTCTCAGTTCATATTAATTTCCTACAACCAATTTAATGAATGTGAAGGAGACTATTTTGTCGAACTCGAGCTCATCGAGAATTTTTTTTTTTGGCTCGAGCTCGAGCTCAAGCCGAATTCGACGAGCTTGAGCCCAAGCTCATTTTGGGTTTTTTCTTTTTTTTTTTTTGTTTTAAATTAATTTTTATTATTAAAAATTATTTATATTATAACAAAAAAACTACAAAATAAATAATGAACAATAATTATATATTTTTTTAATTTTTATACTTTCTTTTTATATTATTATTATTATAACATTTTGTATTATTATATAAAAAAAAAAAAAATAGAATAAAATGAAGGCTCGCGAGCCGACTCGTGAATTCACGAACAACTAAAAAAAATTCGAGCTCAACTCATCAAAGAACTCGAGTTCGAGCTTTTCTCCAGTCAGCTCATCGAGCTCACGAGTCTGCTCAGCTCATTTACCACCCCTAATGTGAAGTGTAAATCAATTATCCACTTTATCTTTTTATGATTATCGTTGTTGACAACGGAATTCGCAACTACTTAAAATGCAGTGGTATACTTCGTTCCCGTTCAATAGCTCACAAATTACACGATAATTTATTTATTTAAACAATTTTTTTTTGTCAAACGAGGAAATTGGAAGCTACAAATCACCCAAATAATTGATTCATTTTTATTCAAATAAAAACTAACTGTACACAAGGAAATTCAATAATTGTTTCATTTTTCAGTACAACAAGTCAACAACAGCTTCAGCTGTCCCAATTAAGTAAAGGCTTTTCTTAAGAGTTTATTTTCTCTCCTAAAAAGCCATAAAAATGTTTTCTTTTTATTACCAACATACCACTTCTAAATGGCTATGTGAATGCTATACAATTTTAAATTAAAAATAAAAAAAAAGTTTAAATTTCTCGAGCATAAATTAATTACTCCTCGTTTTTTTACTTCTAGATAAAGTCCGGTTGACCCGTTGAGGTTAGGCAACGATGCCACATACGGCTGTTAGGATCGACAGATCTCGACTGTGCAATGACTTCCGGAATCGGAAAATATACGTAATGCGTATTGCATATTCCCACCGTTATTCCACTATACCCTGCAAATGCACCATGTACCTGCCCATAACCAATTCTCGATTTTCAGTAATTAAAAATAAATAAATAAAATAATAAATGAAAATAAATTCACAAGGGTCCCGTCTAGATCCATTCAAAATCCGGTATCCACTAATTGGGATCCGGTTCAAAATGCGGGCATGCTTCTTGATTAAATTTATGTAACACTTTTTCGAGCATATGGAAAATTAATAAAATAAAAATACAAAATAAAATTGGTGATTAAGACTGAAAAATAGAAAGACTTACGGCATTTTGACCAAGAACGGTGCAGAGAATCCCGTCAGATGCATTTGCACGGCAAGCACGGATCATGTATGTGGGATCGATGTATTTCACATCTGCTGGAAATCCGAGCTCCTTAAAGAACTTTTTCGTCTGTGAGGCATAATTAAACATTTAACTATCTAAAATAGAACTATAAAAAGATAGGGCAAATTACAACCAGCCCCCCTGAGGTAAAGTGTAATTAAAAAAATACCCCTTATTTTTTTAGAAATTATCCAACACCCTGCAGTTTGTAAATATCTTACATCCACCCTCCTACAAAAGGGTGTCAATGTAAGAAATTTACAAATCGCAAGGGGGTTGATGTAATTATGGAAACATGAGGGGGTTTTTCGTAAATCGACCTTACCTCAGGGGGGTGGTTGTAAGTATCATGACAATTTCAGAATAAATAACTATGTTCGTGTAATTTACTATTGTTACCCAATCACAATGTCTCTTTATTTGGTTCGTGTATTATCTATAACAAAGTCTTAAGTAGAATAATAATTTAGATTTCAAGTCCGATTTTAGCATAATATATGGCGAAAAATAAGTCTGTTGAATATGTTACAAGCATTACCTCTTGTTGTATATAAACACCGATATCTCCTAGTACAGTATTTCCCGATGCATCTTTAGCATTGGTTTTCTCGAGAAGATCCTGCATTGCAAAACGTTACGAAAAATCGCAATAAGATTTTCTTGATTTTTATACAACACCTGATATAATTCTTGATTCTTTTTTTCGGAAGAGGAAAACTTGTTCCAATTCTGTTCCAAAAAAAAAAGAATCGAAAATTCGGAAATTGAAGATCTGAATTTCGGAAATATTGGATGAAAAAACTTGTTCTAAAATCAAAAATCAAAAAATTCCGACTGTAATTGGCGGAATTAAAAAATATCAATATTTTGGTCACTTATAAATCAAAATACTTAATAATATTGATATCATAAGTGTAATTTTTGGGGGGAAAAAATAGGAATTTTTGGAAATTAAAATCAGATCGGAATTAAAATCTAATACGTATTCCAGTTCCACTTAAAACAAAAATCGGAAATTGGAACTTATCGGAATCCAGAATGAAAAATAATGTTCAAAAAATCAAAAAAAAATCGGTAACAATTTTTTGTCCAAATACGAAGTCCATAAAATATAATCACATTAACGAATTTATAGACTTGAGAAAAAAACGTGGAATTTAATAAAATCGGAATAAATTACGAAAATCGAACCTGGCCAGCGCCCTCGGCGACACAAACAACAGCAGATCCCTTTCGCTCGAGCAGATATTTAAGATGACTCAAAACGCCATGCGGGCCATGCAGATTAAATTGCACTTCGGGGATTAAACATATATCGATTTGTCCACTAGCAAGAGATGCTTGCATGGCTATAAATCCACTACTACGCCCCATCAATTTCACTATTCCGATACCATGATAAGCACTGTGCGCCTGTGATATAATTTAGAGAGAGAATAAATAAAATAATAATAAAAAAATTGATTTAAGAGGAACTAGTTATTATTGAAAAGAGAAATGTGTGAAAATGAAACCTCGATATATGCGGAATAAATTGCTCGCTGTGCCTCTTCGACAGCTGTATCGAAACCGAATGTTTTATCCATGAGCAAGATGTCGTTGTCTATTGTTTTCGGTACACCAACTACAGCTACTTTCAATCTTCTTTTACGGCACTGGAATAATATAAACAATTTAGAAGTGAAAAACTAATTCCAACAAATCAGAACAATCGGAAATCCAGAAAATGGAATGAAAATAATTATTCCAAAAAAAAAAAAAAATGGGATATTTTTTTTTTAATGTACGGAAATATTTTCGGAAATTAAAATTGGAATCTAGTATAAATTTTCAATTGCATTCCGAAACAATTCGGATAAATCGGAACCGGACCTTTCGGAATTTGGAATGAAAAATATTTTTTTCCAAAATCGAAATCTGTGGGATTCACAAATTCCGTTGCAATTTCAACCCTAAATTAGAAATTCGATATTTAAATGCACAAATTGTCTATAAACGAGGTAGCTTTTTTCTCAAGTATAAAGGCTAATAGTCGAAAAAGACCTCTTCGTGTATGGCATTGGCACCAGCATGCGTACCGTTTCCACCGAGAACAAAGAGCATATTTATCCCTCTTGCCTGCAAACAATTCTTGAATTAGTATTTAAAAAAAAAAAAAAAAAAAAAAAAAAAAAAAAAACTTTGTGAAAATTACAAAGTATAATTAGCATTAATTAATTACCTCCATGCTGTCCACAATTTCACTAACTGTGGGCCCCCCACGCGACACTCCTAACAAGCTTCCACCGGAGAGATGCACATTTTGGACCACTTTCCTCGATAGCTGAAATCATATATCAATAAGCGCAACTCTCGTTTAAGATTAAATTTGATATTTTTTTAAAAAAATATCATAAATAAAGGATAATTGTTACTCCCGTTTCTTTAAAAGTGTCGTTTTCAGCAAGATTAGTAATATAAAACTAAAAAGATAAATGGTTACTCAATAAAATATAAAATCCGCAAAATTGGATTAATAATTAATATATACTCACTGGCATCTCAGCTAGATTAGTATCAGAGAAGCCACGATAACCGAAAGGGATTCCGACTATTTTTGTCACGCCATATATCTCAAGTGTGATGACAATCTGCAACGATAACAATATACGAAATAAATATTGGTCTCCATTTTAATTAAGTTAGAATACGTAAATATATTTGTTTTGAGTATGAAAAAAAAACCTGTCGGATGACGTCATTCAGACCGGGGCAAAGGCCCCCACAAGTAACTATTGCTGCTTTTACATCTTCCGGTTTGAAGTATATTTTTTCTCTGGGCCCCGCACGATGGACCCTTGAAATTAAGTGAGTGATGATATTGTAAAATTAGAAGCTTGAAATAAATTATTTGATATTTTTTTTTTTTTGCAATGTGAGAATAGAAAATATTTTACCATTGCTCAGTCCATGTACAATCGGGATCGATACACTCAGCACCTGCAGATGTAGGAGAAGAATAACGAATCACCTGAAACCATTAAATGAAGAAATTTTTCAGAGACAATTAGAACAAAGAAATCGGGATTTTTTAAGTAGAATCAAAACGGGGCTGTAAAATAAAAAAATCGTAAAATCGGATCGTAAATTCATGGTACTGTACGTATCTTATACATTTATATAGCATGTCAAAGTCTTACATAAATCAACATATATAAAACATTTTCTAACATAAATAAAGTATGTCACCAGTAAAATCGTTAAGGATACTAACCCCCGAACTTGAATCCTGATTAAAATAGAGGGTGGTAAAATCGTAAAATTCTAGGATTTTAATCGGCATTAGAGATACACAGTTAAATTGGAATAACTAATAAATGCAGATAGTACAAATAGTTCATATAACCAATTCACAATAACCAATCAAGAAATATGATTTTCTGTATCCGTTACTCTAACCGATTATCGATGTGAATCTTTTTGGTAAGTCTTAATTCGTTAACATCAGAGGTCACCAAATATAGAGAACAACAATAGAAGCAAAATCATAGACTCTAATACAACACTAATGCCTCGTTTGGTTGGGGAGATTAGCCATGATTAACTATATAATTGGACTTTGTTTGATGTTTGGTAAATCCAATAACTTCTCCGTAAGTATTATGTTATCATGCCTTATCCTTCTCGTACGTAGCTTTTTTGTTCGACCTTTCGGGGTTCAATAAAATAAAAAAGGAATTTTAATTAGATTATTTATTCTTATCCTGGCAACCAAATGAGGCCTAGATATCAATAGTAGTTTTGACCATGATCAAACAAATTATCTGATCAATCCATGTTCGACATTCATTTTATCAACTTCTCGGCGAACTGTCAAGAAAATCCAACAAGATGTAATAATAATATTCGAAATCAGAAAACCTACGTATATGTAACAGTAAAAAGCTGCAGTAAAATACAACAAACAACAAGAACACACAAAAAAAAGAAAAAACAAATCAAGAATAAAACATTATACTATACCTTAAGAAGAACTCTATCATTGTTGTTAATGTAACCATGCCACGCCTCATCCGATGGATAACCTTCCGCAAAATCGGGACTCACCGGCGTCCTGTAATAGAAATCTCAAATTAATTCTCTCTCTAGAAATTACAAAAAAAAAATCCAATTTTTAAGTGAATTTTTTCAATCAATAATAATAAAAACAAAAAAAAAAAAAAAAAAAAAAGAAAACCTCATTCTGAGGCAGAAAGTGGAGGGGTACGAAACGGCGTCGTTGAGCACATCGGTGATGTGCGGGATGCGGAATCGGGCCTCGAAGTCGGTCTGGTACTTTGACTTCCAATCCGGATCGCTGAAATCAACGCTTTCGGGCTTCCCAACTCGGGCTTTAACCTCGATTCTCTTCCGGATCCGGGTACGGGTCGGATTCCTGTAAGACCCGAAATTGAGCTGAGCGTGATCGGAGCTAGCAGTAGTAATTCGCCTCAAAATCAAACCCGGATTGATCGCCGGCGAAATCGTTTCCATTAATTGAGCAACTGGCAACTGAAATTTTTCCTAGCTTAGAAATTCAGAAGCATGTACGAACATGTGTATGTATATATGTGTGTATGTATGTATATATATATTAAGAAAAACAATGTGAGTGAGGTGGGGGTGGGGTGATCGGAGTGACGGAGAAAGAGAGAGGAAAATTTGTTTAATGGGTAGCCGACAAAGAATAATATATCACAACTGATGTTTGCTTTTTTGATTTTCTTTTTGATTTTTCTTTCTTTTACATGTCAAAGTTCAACGGGGGTTTATCGAATTATTGAAAGCGGCTTTTTTCCTAATGACGATATTAACCCTAATGTTTTCCATTTTGTACAAATTGGTCCTACTTTCTCAATTTCTTGGTTTCACCTGACAGCCCACGTGGATAAACTATCAACATGTTTTCTTAACTCTTTATAAATCATTTTTCTAGTTTTTTTTTTCTTTTTTCAACTAGATGTTAACTCGGGATGGTAACAGGGCGGGTATCATGCGGGTTTTGCAAATATTTTAGAAGAAGAAGGCAAAATGAGTTTTTTAGTCTTATAAGTTTACTAGTTGACAGTTTTAGTTCACTATATTTCAAAATCAAAATTTTAGTCCTGTAAGTTACAAAAGTTGAGAATTTCGGTCATATGACCTGCTATAACAGGTAATTCAATGGTTGATTCAATGAGTTGACATTTAATTAATAAAATTAAATAGATTAAAAACAAACAGGATAATGTGGCCGATGAGTTGGACGATTTTGAAGGAAAATAAAATATACTATTAAATTATTTTTTATCTGATGAAGAAAATAGGTATTTATTTATTTAATTAATATTTCATAGTTTTGGATTGATAAAAATAGTAATTAACTATATTCTATTACTTCTATGGATATTTGGTACTCGATAACGTATTTTATGTTTGAATGCTCTAGAATACTTTTTGTTACATTTAATTTAATTGAGAAATATATATTTTATTATTTGTTTAGTTAATTTGTAAATGTATGTTTGAGTTTTTATACTAATTATAATTGTACATGTCATTAACTTTACAACAAATTTCAATAGAATTTGTTTTTTTCGTATTTTGGTTGAATTTAATTACTTGTTCACTTTCATTGTGATCACTAAGTATAGGTTTATAAAACTAAAATATTGAGATAAATATGAATTTAATTACTATTTTTATCAATTAAAAGCTATGAAATATTAATTAATAATTAGTTACTAAGTAAATGCTTATTTCCTTCTAATTAATATTTAAATATAACAAAAAGTAAATATATAAATAAATACGGTAAATCCCATTATTTTGGTGTTTTTAACATTGAGGATTAAATTTTCTTCCAAAACCCTCCAATTCATTAGCCATGTCATCTATTTTATTTTTACAATATTTATTTTATAAATTAAATGGCAACTCATTCAACCAATCATTACATTACCTGCTATAGCAGGTTATATGACCAACTTTTGAAACTTACAGGACTAAAATTCTGATTTTGAAACTTGGTGGACTAAAACTCCCAACTAGTAAACTTATAGGACTAAAAAACTCATTTGCTGAAGGAGAATTTAAAAATTAAAGTGATGTTTGTTTGTTTTTTGATGAAAACATTTGTTATTGTACCGGTCAAATATTTTTACTATAATAGTCAAATCATGTATAAAGAGAGATAAACTTTTAAAATAGTGGTCGAAATTATTTCTCAAAAGGTTAAGAAACACGAATTCTTTTTCGGTAAATGATAAAAATGGAGTGAAAATGAAACATACTTATGCGTAAGATGAGAAACATCTCTCCAACCAAGTCATTACATAACTAATTTATGTTATTGTTAAGTGTATATTTTTACACTTAATCGTACCTTCTAATTGGAGCGTTTGGTGTGTTTTAACGATAATTGGTGCTTAAAAAGTTGATTTATTGTATTTTAGGTACAAATTAAAAAATTAGAAAAGTATGGGGTAAAAACTGCAATTTTGGAGAAAATATGGGCCAAAAGTGAAAAGGTCAAAAATCTGAAGATTTAAAGCCGGGACGGCCGTCCGAGATCACGAAGAGGCAAAATAAAGGGATTTTAATTGCACAAGGAAACTGCCTTCTTCTCCAAGTTTTCCACCCTATATAAGATCAAGTCAAGCACACAATTGGAGATGGATCTTTTACGCAATTTCAAGAGCAACAAAACAATAATGAAGAATTCGAAGACTCCAAGCTTTATCGTCTATGATTTGTTTTAATTTGCGTTTTTACTTTAATCATGATTTGCTAATTTTCTTATTTCTAGGATTTTATTTGGAACCCTATGTGGGATGTATGAACCCAATTTTATGATTTTATGCAAGTTTTAATTTCGGATTATTTCTTCTACTTGTTTTATTAAGTGCATGAACTTGATCACCTTATGTGCTTTTATATAATTGTTAATCGCATGAATCGGAAGATTGGGTTAATAATTAGAACAGTGGTAGAAGAACCTTTGTGGTATTAACATAGGAATATAGTTAATCTCTTAGGTAGCCATTATTGAGATTTGTGCTTAATGTTGTGTTCTAGAATTAATTGCGTAGGAATACAGTAATTGAATCTAGAGTATTAGAATCGTAATACACGCGGAAGCGGGTTATGATTAAATTAGCATCTCAGGTTAATAATCCGAATTAATTACTTACATAATTGAAGGAATTTGGGGAATAATAATGACATAGGGGGAAGAATAAAATCCTAGGCTTGTCTACTTTGATTAATCTTCGTGTTTAAATTGCTTTCTTGTTTTTGTCTTTTTAATTTGCTTTGATTTAGTTTATTTTAATTTAGTTAATTCTCTCTAAAGTCGACTGTGTAGGGTGGGCTTGATAATAATTGCTAGGGTTTAGCGTCTATGATTAAATAATTAAATATTCTCTGTGGGATCGATATCCAGACTTAATTGTCCACTTTATTACTTGTACGATACGTGCACTTGCGTGTAGGTATTCTAACCAACAGTTACATGTTCGTTTGTCGGGCATATTTCGTGTTTAACACTAGCGGACACCTACTGAACACTTATTGGTCATTTTTGCCCATTTTTGAAAAATAAAAGAATGTGTATAAAGCAAATTTCCATAACACTTTTGTTACTTCTGTAATTATTTACATGATTTAATGATCAATCGAAAATTATAGCTGATAATCAATATTTATTTGAATATGTTTGTATGAAAAATTGAAAATATATAAAAATAATTATATGTTTGAATATGTTTGTATGAAAAATTGAAAATATATAAAAATAATTGAATATGTGTGTGTGTGTGTGTGTTCATATTTATACATAAGTATATCGTTATACTTCTAATATTTACATGTATCCCCACGTTCATGTATATATCCTAGTTTTTGGACAATGTCGTTTTCCTATATCAGTTTCCACATTTCACCGAGTTCACGTTCCTGTACATATCTATGCAACTTAGGAACTAACTCATAAATCATTTTTTCATCCAAGTAACTCATAACTCTAATTTGTGTGTTTCTACTAAATCAATATTTTGAAGAAAAAAAAAATTGACACACCCACATTGAAATTGTGTTAACCATATTATTTCTTCATCTACCCAAATTACATTACGTTCTTTATTCATTCTCACAATGTTTTCCTTTCTCTTCTCATTCTCTCTCGACCTACCTCTCTTCCTCACCATCTAAATCTTCTCACTTCTCTTCCCATTCGCTCTGATTTTCTCTCGGTGTCTTTAGAGGTAGGTTTGGCCGGAAAACGTAAATAGATGATTGCGGAAGAAATATTCAATTGAAAAAATTACAGATGTAGGGTGTCTCACGACTTTTTGGTGCTTCATTCTTTTTGTTTGCTTGGCTGAATCGACTAGTACTATTTCACATTATTGTGTTCGTCTCATCAACAACTTCATTTTGGTTTGAGATTTTGTTTGATTTGGATCTGCTTTGCTGCTAATCCGATACACGCACAAATTTGTATCAATATCTCTTACATAGATTAATTTTCCGCAAAACACAATGAAATGTAAATAAAGAAAGAGTAGAACTAACAACAAATCGGAACTAGAAAGAGATGCTTACGAGATGAAGAATACAAAGTTGAAATTATAAACGAAATAAAACTCTATTATTTAGATTAAATTAAGCTCTAATTAAGAGAAACTTGTATCTATATAACTGTTTTATATATCCTATAAAATTAGAGTTTTATTTAAAAAAAAAAAGGTCTTTTGTATACAAAATATAATTGGTGACTAATATATGCTTTTTAATTATCGTATATATATGATGGGCCTGATTTTCTTCTAATGGGCCACTTTAAATAAAGACTTATATTATCTTATATGATGGACCTAAAGTTAATTGATTATCTTTTAATGGACCACTTTAAGGTAAACTGAATTTATTTATTTAGAGACCAAATTTAATGGGCCACTTTAAAAATTAATTACTACACAATGCCCTCACGGGTATGTTAGTACGCCCGCCCATCAGGTTGTTTGTCTCGCCACTTGTGCGTGTGTCCGCACTATTAGGCCCCCACATCACAGGGTGTTACCGCCCCGGCCGTGTTGAGCCATTCGCTCGTTCCAGCCAATTAATCATGCTTTAGTACCATGGGGCACCGTTCGTTTACCCGTGCAACTCCAAAAGTTACTTAGTACGTATATTTGCCAAGTCCCGCCCATATTTATCAACATTGGCTATCGAGTAACGTACATGCCAGCCATGAGTCCCGCCGAGTATCACTTGTGCCGTCCGTCGAGCCACCCCCGTGCACTGGCGGAACTTGAAAGAGGCATGGGGGGGCCGTTGACCCCCAAGAAAAAGAATTTTTTTTTTAGATATTTGGTACTAAATTTTTTGAATATTACTTTTGGCTCTTGTTGGTTGTAATACCTACACGCAAGTGCACGTATCGTACAAGTAATATAGTGGACAACTAACTCCGAATATCGAACCCACAGGGAATATTTAATTACTTAATCCTAGACGCTAAATTCTAACAATTATTATCAAGCCCACCCTACACAGTCGACTTTAGAGAGAATTAACTAAATTAAAAGGCAAGCAAAAACAAGAAAGCAATTTAAAACGAAGATTTAATCAAGGTAAGCAAGCCTACGATTTTATTCTTCCCCCTATGTGATTATTACTCTCCCAATTCCTTCAATTATGCAAGTAATTAACCCGGATTATTAACCTGAGATGCTAAATTAATCATAATCCGCTTCCG